TGGAACTTGAGGCGCCACTGACGTAGAAGGACTTGGGCATTTTAGTCCCTCAAAACTAAAAATCCTATGCCAACTGTTACAGAAACGCATTTCGTTGGAACTCGGCGTTAGTAACCCCTAGACGAATTTTCGGAAAATTTGATCATGGATGCTTCCACCAAATTTTCAACAGCTTCATACGGTCTGACTTGGAGTTCGGAACCAGCATCTTCGCCCCTCATCTCCAGAAGGACAAACTAAACTTGGAAAGCATCCAAGGGCGTTCGATAAAGTCCGTTCGTGGACTTGGGTCGAAAATATACGAAGAACGACTGGCTGCGCTGGATCTGAGTCCTCTGGGGTACAGAAGGCTAAAAGGTGACTTGATAATGACTTACAGCATTCTGAGCACACCTGGCCACCCACTCCGTCACTTATTAAATCTTAGCTGCAGCGCTAATCTTAGAGGACAAGCACAGAAACTAAGACTGGAACACAGCAGGTTAGATGTCAGGCACAACTCCTATTCCCTAAGAGTCGTTAAACCCTGGAACGCTCTTCCTGGAGATGTGATCAAGGCTACTTCGTCTGAATCCTTTAAACGCTGGCTGGATACCCATTTGACGTGTGACTAGGATCTCCCTGAAGTAATTGAATTTTCACATTTTAATCGCCACTTTTTCGTCTTTCTTTACTTGTACACGGGTTAAAAGCCACAAGGACTAGTAATCCACGGTTTTTTGATGCGGAAGCCAGTTAAGCGAAAGCTTCTCCTATTCCGTCATCAACCACTTGAACCATTTGAAAAAATCTCACAATCCCTAGAAATTTAGTTAATATCGGACTAACTACTGCTACAGCAGGCGAGTGAGTTGGTCCACTGCTTCGAAGTCCACCGAGGACCTGGAACCGTTCCGCAAAACCTAGAAACGAGCGCGAAGAAATTAATTGGTTTACACTGACTTCTTAAGAGATGTTGGATATTGAATGTAACCTTGAAAGCTCTTGAAGGTCCTTCAACAAGCAATACTCATTTAAAAATACCCGGAAGTGAATAACTTTACGATTTCTTAGTTCATTGGAGAAGAGTTTTAAATCCTTATCATATGTGTTATATGACAGAAATTACAAAAGCTAAAACTCACGAACAGTTAAGAACTTAAATGATTCTATACTTACTACAACACATTTGAAAACAGTGGTGACAATCGTCTGTATTTCATCGATCGCTAACAGCTTAATAGCATCATTAGGTATGTCCGTACTTTCCTTGACAGATAGAAGTTTTTTGTGAGGTTACCATAAGGAAACTCAAAAACCATATGTAGTTGAATCAAATTCGTGTGAATTTGAACTTCTCACGCAGAAGTGGTCCATGATTGAAACTGTTCACCCAAACAAGTGGCATCAGCTCTTTCGGTGAGTTCACTCAAGTAGAACTGAGATCTCCGTAGAAAAACCAAATGCAAGGATCAACACAGGCTAACAAGACATCTTCAGATGCAAAACTCGGCAGAATGTTGCAAGATCGCACATGTTGTCCCATGTCTTGTCTCGAGTTCATTAAAATCTGGAACATACCCTCTCGTTTTACCCGTATAAATTTTGACTGAGTCATGTGAATAATGATGGTGCGGTTTGTATTTTCCAGTGATGATCCCAAGTAATTGCCAATGCATAAAATTCTTATTTGGACTGAAGTGTATATGAGTGGACTTTTGGTTTGTCGGATTTATGATAGTCAAAAAGACAGGCTACTTACTTCATGTTTTCTTCAACTAAAAAATCTCCGTAGTGGTCTAAAAATGAAGCAAACAATTTCAATCAACCCACTTTTTGATTTTAGCAAAGGTTTTCTTGATTTAGTTCGATATCCAGTGTTGCAATTTGTAAACCAAGCTGCCTGTTTTGATTATTCCACAGGTGTGCCTGTAAAAATCTATTTTCTCGTTAAAAGTGTTCACTGAAAAAGATGCTATCACTCAATCCGTTTAGAAGTACCAGTTACTAGGACGGTACGGTAAAGGGTTTCTTGTTAAGTTTCACACCGATTCGTGTAAATTTGAGTCAATCTCTAATTAGATTTGAACCCTGCTACTACACTTTAAGTCGACCTCGAAAATGATCAGCCCCTATAGGATAAAAGCATTGCAAAGATCAATAACCAGTTCTCTTTGTAAGATGTGATACACCAGTGAAGTCATCCAACATTCTCTACCATTGAATCGAGGGCAACGCTGATCGATGTTCACAACATGGATGCGTGCTGACATGTTCCGTACAGCTTGAATACATTCCATGTTTACTTCGTTTTATCTTAGCTTAGGGATTCTACCTCTATTCATCATTCTAAATGAAGTCTTTTTCGGCAACGGTTCGTTATTCTGAAAATATCCTTATCTGAACGCCTAAAAGCTGTGCAAAGTGATAATGAAATCCGGAATTATATGGCTGCAGCTGGATTGCAACTTACTATCCTTTCCAAGTTGTGACTTACGATTAATCTCAGATGGGACCAACTGAGTATTAATAGGAGCTTCTTAAACCAATTTTCTTCCCTACATGTTTAATGAAATCAACTTCTACTTCCCAACTTATAACCACTTGACTAATTCATCTTGATCAATTTGAAGCTCTGCTTTGTTTTTAGTCATATCCAATCCCAGATCAATACACTGGTAAATAGCAAAGATGATATTCCGAAGTCCACTGATCCAAATTAGATAGAGTTAAAGTTCTTAGTATATTGCTTTGAGGAACCTCAGTAGTAATTGGTTTGCACTTCGACATTATCTCGTCCACCTTAACTTCATACTATTTGTCATACACTTAGTACTTAATCTGCTTTAGCTTGTCAGGTGTGTCATGAAGCGAAAACTTTCTCAGCAATCCAATGTGATACACCTCGTCATAAGCCTTCGCAAAAACAATAAGTATTACAACTACTGGTAGTTAATTGTCTCCGGTCCCCATAGATTCTCCATTCAGAATAAGATTTCTTGAAAAACGAGCATGGAATTGTTGTTCTTATGTCAGTAGATCATATTTTTCCATATGACTCAGCAGTTTATTTCCAATTATCCTTTCTAAATATCTGGACCACTATCCTAGTATGGCTGAGGTTGGCAATAGGTTAGCATTAATTAACTATCTTCATGTTAGAAATAAGGTGGATAGTAATATCTCTCAAATCCTTAGACAAATAAGTTTTAAATAAAGATATGTTTGGCGTCAATCTTTGAGGATGAGAACGTGGTTGTGGTTCATCAAGATCTGGTGACTTCCCACGTTTCCGTTCTTCAAAACACCTGGAAGAGTTTATATTGTCATGAGAGTAGCCTAGATCAATCAGTTAGGCTCTAGATGGCATGTCAATCTCTGCGAAATTGAAGGCATGTGGGGTGAACATTATTGATGGACACTACTAGTTGTATTTCAAAATCTATCGGAAAATGAACCCCCTTTCATGCTTAATATCTACCTCGTTTTCGTGAGTTTGTCCACAAGCTATGGTCAGGCGTCAAATGACTCTAAACAAAATGAGCTCAGACATTATGGTAGTCTTTTGTTGTGATCAATGACATATCTCTCTTATGAACGAAATTATTGACATAAATAATACAGTACAGTCTCTTATTTTAGAATTCAAACTTTTCTTTTCTCATGTTACAGCACTTTTGTTTTCATTTAAAGTAGCACCACAAACGTTAGGATGCATAAAAGTAATGAAAGCTGAATAAACAGTTTTCATGATAAATAACGCTTAATGTGTCTTATCATGATTTCATATAGCATTGGGAACTAGGCATAGCGAGAAACTACCGAAGGTACTGTAGATATAATGTCTAAATGTCGTTTTCTAATGGTGTAGTAGTATGTGACCAACGTGGATAGCTAGCAAGATCACTACAGACCAAGTAGTTACCAAATGCGTAAAAACAAAAAAATTAACATTGTCTATGGCACCTCATCGGTTAACTTTTATAAAATACTATTCGCGACTTCCTTTTGAATGTTCACAGACAACACTTACACCTAAAACTGTGCTTTCTATGATGAAAAAATCCCTAGGACATGTGCATGGTGTGGTTGATGATGAAATAAATGTAGAGTTTAATATGAAGTACTAATCCTTTCATTTGAGCGAGATAATGATAAGAACAGCTCAAAGTAGAATAAAGTTGTGTTTTATTTGTACAATTGTTTAAAGCTGCTTTATAATAGAGACCTGTTTGCCTTATAATAGTAAGTTTTACGGGATGGGAGAAGAAAGTCAGTTGGTGAGATTGTGAACCTACATCGATTGGGGTGACTAGAACGTGTATTACGCATGGCTGTTCATTGTCTACCCTATCGCACAATGTTATCTGAATGAGGTTCAGGCTGGGAAAGGGTTAGAGATGGTCAGACTAAAGCATGGCATCAATTTCTGAAGTTCTTGACTATCGGTTTGAGCCGTGTAGAGAAGTGTAGACTTCGCGGTTAGGGTTCGCATGAAAACAGAAAGCAATAATTGGAAACTGAGTGACATGGTTTAGAACCGATCTCGGTGGTTCAGGTTTATCCACAGGTTGTCGTCACTTTAATCGTCCTACTAAGTTCGGCATTTTCTTATTCCTCCTTCCTCTCGCTTACTCTTTTTGACTTATTTTGACCGATTCTACTCTATTTCTTCATCTGTCATCTTAATCATTAGTTGCTTAATGTGCTGATATAAGGTATAGCAACTCAGACCGTTATACAGTAGTAGTCCGTGGTCCTACGTTGATGGTGATGCTAACGTCTACTTAAATGATGTCGAAATACTGTTTATTTAGTCTGTGTGTAAACTTTCACCTTATTCATGAAGAGTAAGTGAACTTGAAATTTCCTAAAGTTATTTTTCAATCTTTTTTTCATCATGATATAGTGAACTACTTGCTGCTTTTCATTGTCTAACAGTTGCCGGTAATTTTCATGGATTACATGAATTTTCTTCACTTACACTATTGGACTAGTTTCCTATCGTCAATGAATTTATGATGAAAAAGTATTCATATCCACCTATGTTTGATTCACAGAATGGAAAAGATTTCCAATACAGTTTATCTATCAATTCATCAAGGTCTGATACATCTACACCATCTTTTCAAGAATGTTTTTCATCAGTTGAACAATTATCTGGTCCGGTGGCTAAATTGAATGAAATTATTCAAGATCTTATCGACTATAAGGTGAAGTTTGTTTTTTATACTTTTAGTAGACTATCATAATGTGATTTTATTATATTTTTGTAATTCAACCGTTGAACTTCACAGGCAGTTCGACTTATATCATTCTTAATAAATGCACTTACTAAAAGAAAACTCTGCTAAGAAAAATTTCCTATTCGACAGAAGGTTATAACAGACAGATAGAATCAGCGTAGAACGTCATCACAAGTTGCCACACTTCACAGTAGTACACAAAGAACAAGTGGATAGAAAAAGACTAATATCAAAGTAGACAAAAATTGTATGTGAGAATAAACAATTTGAAGGTAACGGTTACTGTAAATATTCAATCCTTAGAGGACGTTAAAAACTGAGTACATCTGTGCCATTGTCATTTAGACTCTTCAACCAGTGATTCCTTTCGTCTCGAGAACTCTAACCAGGGAGTCTACATTTCACATGACTTAGATCAACAGTCAGAAACTTCATCGACTGGTCCGCCCACCCTGGACTCTCTTCCAACTCAGTCCAACTTCTCCTACCATGGCACGTAAAGGTAGGCGTTGGTCCTGCACGGGCACTACATGTCTAAGTCAGTTCAGTCAACTAATATTTAAAATCTCATCAATCGATTTGCCTGTCTTGTCTGATACCCTTCGCCTGATCTCAACATTGTTCACATTGTGATTCCACCGAATGCGAGCAGTGCTATGAAGATACCTGTGATCAAAACCCTGTAATCACCTTATGTCTTCTGCTTTTAACGGCCATATATCACAACTGTATAACAGAACAGAATGAAGTGGAGTACAGTATACTCATCCTTTGATAGATATTCGGATATCTTGCCAGTTGGTGCCACAGATGATACAAGTTGATGAATGATCCGATTTGAGATTTCATCAAACAACCCATTAAGGCTGATGCAACTCCCAAGTAAGTGAAGTGGTCGACACATTTCACCACTTCACTCATTATCACTAATCTGGGAGTATTCGCAGAAGGTTATACAATGTCGTCGAAAATCTGTCATAGCATAGATTAATAAATTATTCTACAACTGCATAATAATGTAGAAAGCACTAATGGATGCAAAAAATGTCCACCAGTGATCGAATCAATGAAATTGACAAATACAAAGTAAAGAGAAGGTGTATGAAAATAATAACCTGCATAAATCATAATAACATAAATGAAAGATGTCGCAGAAAGGTTATAACCAGTTACATAAAACTTGTATTTGTATACATCTATGTATTTGCAATAAATGATTCCAACACTTCTTACAAAAGTCTTGTTCGAGCTTCAGAAAAATATTTCAAAACAACATCACTACCTTGTTTGAGGTATGGTCGTTTTTATCATTCCTAGCAAGTTCATACGTACGATGTACGAATTCAAGCCAGTGGTCATAGGTGTCATAATAGTCAATGTATGACGAAAAACTGTCTGTGAAATCGAAGAAATATGCATATCATTTCTGCCTGTAGGTCAAATACAGCATGAGCTGATATTGATGAGTATTGGTTTTTGGTTCAGTGCTACGGGAAGCTAAACTATACAAGAGGAAAGCTAAGGACGGCCATGTACCAGTGCATGAAGTCTCTGACTAGTGGTGTGACCCGTATAGGAAGGTGTAGACTGCCTAGTTGGGATTCCACGACAGACAGCTGCTACCTTGATCTGGTGGTCAGGCTAGTGTATCACAACGACCCATCGAGCTACACTGGCTGGAATGGCTGTTTCCTCGAGGTCCTACCATACCAGAAAGGTCTGTTGGATAGTTCTTAGACAAAAACAGCTACCATCATAATGCAAATAGCTACATTGTGATGGTGGATCTGCTGACTGGACGAGAATGTGACGGCAGTGTGGTGTTTCCCATGGATGACTGACAGTATCAAGCTGATGCTGCCTTCCCTATGTGAAGGGGATGAGGGTTCGAAAAGGTCTGCCCAAAGAATAGCACTCTCCCATCACGCTGGGGCATGTCAATGCCTGCAACAAGAATTCATAGTGGAATTCGAAAGCAAAATACCAAAGTCTCTAACTGACAAAAGGCCATGTGTGACCGGCCTTAAGCAAATGTCCCATGGGCTCTGCGGTCACACACTATCTCTTCTTTTTCAAGCACCTCAAGAAGAAGTAACCTTTCACGATGTGGGCAGTCGGGAAGTGTCAGACACCCTCACAACTCTGCCAATACTCAGGCTTCCTCAGATCACTGTCCATCTCCCACATCCTTACCTTCTAGTCTTTTTTCATATCTTTTGGTTAACTAACCTACATCACCTTTACCTTTTCCCAGCTTTGCTGCTCTTGACAGCAATCTGAGTTGACAGGACTGCACCCCTAGTCTCGTAAACCGGTGCTCCAAATTACACACTGGAGCTCTTAAAGTACGTGTCCTCCGACAAGTCGACCAACAAGCTTCACTGGTCGAAACTTTAGTAACTGGGGCTATGGATGTGTGCTATGTTTTTGAGACACTCATACATGACCCCAGTGCAGTTATTCGCCTAACCTCATCTCGGTCACTGGTAAATCCGCAAAATCAATCCTTCGGGTTTGTGGAGATTAAATGGTTTTGCAAGTGTATGTACAGCATTGAGCACTAAGGTAAAAAGTTCCCTGCTCGACTGGATCCCAGTTAATGGTCGCCTGTGTGTTGCTCAACTGAGCACCACAGTGAAGACAAAAAGGAATAGTGAAACTCCTCGTATTTTTTTAATATCTGCCTACACACCTACTGACTGCAATTCGAATGAAGTGATGGATGAGTTCTACCGAGAAGTATCTAGCCTCCTACTGAAAGCCACGCGCTCAGACATGGTTCTTGTTGCAGGTGATTTTTATGCACAAGTGGGCACGCTAGGTCTAACAGAAAGGCACTTAGGTGGCACTTTTGGAATCCCAGCCGAACAAACAGATAACGGTAACTGCCTGCTGCAACTGTGATCAGACAATAGGTTGTTTCTAATTAGCACAAACCTCAGACATAAGGACAGATATTGTTTGATGTAGCGTCAACTGAGCTCAACTCAGTGGTGGACACATCGCTATCAGTCATCGAGGGTTGGTGGAAGACTGCCGCTCCTTCTGGAGCACGTGTGTTTGAAAAGCGACCACACGTTGTTTTGAGCAGGCGTGTGTCTGCATCTCAATAGGCGTAGGAAAACTTTAACAACAAGACCATTACGAGTGCAGCTTGACAACGAGAGCACTAAGGCTGCTTTCAGTGAGGAACTGACTTGACGTTTATCAGAACAGGAAACTATCACTCATTCAGAATTAGCTTGGTGCCATATCCAGTGTGTTGTAAAAGTGGTTAAAGACCATAGTCGACCCTCAAAGGGTGGTCAAAAAGAGCCAATTTATTTCAGCAGCTTCTTCGGAATTAATGGATTAACACGAACGCATCCCTTCAGGCTCCGAGTACAGTGACAAGCGCATGCAACTCAAACGTAGACTGACAAAGTTTCTATGTAGTGACCGCGAACAGTGGTTAAATGGCAAAGGCTAAAGAGGTTGAAAACTCAACGGCGATAAATAACAGTAGACAACTATTTAGACATCAGGAAAACAAGCGAAAAGGTCAATGGTTAGTGAGGCGATAGAAGAGTGGGATGGGTCTGGGATTTACTTGCAGAGGAGACAAGTGGAACAATGGGTGGACACTCCCAGGAATATTTCAACTTACCTCCAGCTACCATTCCTTCCCTCCCTACTCAGTCGATGCCCCTGGATGGGACATCGAGATAAGACCCACACCTGCAGAAGTCGAGAAAGATGGAGGTAACTTGGAACGAGGAAGAGCGCCTGGGCCAGACAGACTAGTCCCAGAGGTATTTGAGGATGGTAATCAAGGTCTGTTAATAAAGTTAACTAAAGTGTTAACTAGTGTGAGGGAGTCGGATACTATCCCCTCTGATTGTTCCCTATAACTGACCATTTCAGTCTTCAAAAAAGGCAAGAAGTCCTCCTGTGATAGCCACAGAGGAATCAGTTTGATAAATATAGTATCGGAGATTCTAAGTTCTATACTCATTCGACGTCTGAGTGGAGCTCAGGAACAGCAAGCCTGAGAAAACCAGTCAGGCTTCAGATGTGGGCGTGGGTCTATTGACCAGACATTCACACTCAGCCAGGTTCTAAAACACAGACACACTGATCGAAGCCCGACACTAGCTGTATTTCTGTCCTCATTTGACTCCGTCGATCGAGAGGTCTTATGGCAGTGTCTATCACTGAAAGGGGTACCGAATAAATACATCACTCTCTTAAAGACTCTGTACATGAACACCTGTGGGTACGTTAGAGCCTATGGTGAGTTATCAAGTAAGCTGTGTACAGCGAGTGGTGTCTGTCAGGGATTCCCACCCTCTTCGTTCCTACTCCTATGGAGGTGTCTCCCTCTCGACGTCTGATTGCACAGGGAGAATCCTTGTTAGATCTAGAATACGCAGATAACATAGTGCTGTTGGGAGAAAATACAGTCTCCTGGACATATTGAGTGAATGTTTAGGATGCGTCTTTCACCATCCAAATGCAAGTTGGCGCTCCAGGACTGGTTTTCAACGGTGCCTCAGCTAACAGTAAAAAGAGAAGTGGTTGAGTCTGTTGAGCACTTTACTTACTTGGGAAGTTGGATCAGCCCTGGTGGCCCAGTGGCAGACGAAATTTCTGTACGGACACAAAAGGCTCAATTGGTTTTCACCAACTTGCGCTATCTGTGGCCCCGACTCAATATTCGATTGCCTCTTAAGGGTCGGGTGTACTGTGCTTCAGTTCGCTCTTCTCTACCATATGACACTGATATATGGCCATTAAAGGTAGAGGACATAAGTCTTCAGGTCTTTGACCACTATTGCCTTCGTAGCATCATAGGCCGTGCTTCAGAGTGTCACCACGTGAGTAACACAGAAATCAGGCATAGAGTTTTAGAGGGGAGGGGAGAGTCATTTGATGCGGTTGTGAACCTTCATTGACTGAGTGGGCTGGGAAATGTGTTACGCCCGCTTAGTCACCGTCTGCCTCGTCGCACAATGTTAGCTATAGTAGATGCATGATGGAAAAAAGTGAAAGGCATTCAGACTAAAACATGGCATCAGTGCTTGAAGTCTTTCACTATTTGTTTCAGCCAAGTTGGGAGATACAGACTAGGTAGTTGGAGTCCGCGACAGAAAAGAAACCAGTGGGTTGGGACTCTAGGTGATATGACTCAGAATCGGTGTCAGTGGCGCAGATATGTCCACACCTTATCTAAATCTTAACCGCTATGCTGACCTCAGTATTGTTTCATTTCCCCTTCCCCTCTTTTACTGCTTTCCACTCATTTTGACCGATTTTTCTTCTCTCCTTCATCTTCTATTTTATTGCCTTGTCATTTGATGTAGTGAAATGAGGTGTGGCAACTCGGACCATTGTGCATTAATGCCTTGTCCTATGTTGATATTGATGATAAAGATTACGTCTGTGACGTTCACCGAGGCAGGATATGTATTATTCATCATAAGGAAACGAATCTGTCATACTGATTAGTAATTCCTGTAATTGCTGTCGAAATGGAATCACCTCAATGTTAATCCACTTCGGAGGGGATTTTGGATGGGTTTTGGGCTTTGTTTTTCATGATTTCTTTTGTCAATGTTTCTAGATAGTTATTTACTACAAGTATAGAGTGAGCCAACCTTAGCTTTTCGTTTTCATCTTCTTCCTATGTCACCAGACGATTAGTTCTGTTGGTGCAATTCATAGCAAGCGTCATTTTGGTGGTTAAGTTATCTATAGAAGAGGGTTTAGGGTGGGCAGACCAAGATGTGCCACCAGTCAATGAAGTCTCTGACTGTTGATCTAAGTCATGTGAAATGTAGACTCCCTGGTTAGAGTTCTCGAGACGAAAGGAATCACTGGTTGAAGAGTCTAAATGACAATGGCACAGATGTACTCAGTTTTTAACGTCCTCTAAGGATTGAATATTTACAGTAACCGTTACCTTCAAATTGTTTATTCTCACATACAATTTTTGTCTACTTTGATATTAGTCTTTTTCTATCCACTTGTTCTTTGTGTACTACTGTGAAGTGTGGCAACTTGTGATGATACCCTTGTATGTGAGGTTCTCAATGGGAACAACATCATTCACTCACTGGGATGCATGTACATCCATCTTACGAGCTACAAATAGGATGAAACTGTAGTCATGGATTTCGCTGCTAGCCGTCAACCAGATTACACCACGATGAGTAATCGGGCAGTATCGAGGCTCCCGTATAGACTCCCATCTGCTAACAGAGATAGAATAATTCAATGCAGTAGAAGGAAAGAAGCTTAAAAGTATTGAAGAACAGATCGTTTCTTTCAAATGGACATTTGGGATAAAAAGTGGTGTGACATCCATAGATGATGTAAACTTTTCGCCTACGTCAACGTTTATGAGATTAATGCAGTTGAATGAATAAAGCATTACTGTAATTGCTGATCTAAATTTTCTCTGGCCACTGAATTTAACCTAATCATTTTACAATCTCATGATGTGAGAAATTTTTCATGTCAAGTATTAGATAAAGAGAAATAGCTTTATAGTAATTTATTCGGTTGTGGCTAGCAGAGGAGTCCTGGACGCGCGTTTCGCCGTATTACAGACTCCTCAGCTGGATGTACCTGCACCCAGTGAGTGTTGTTCCCATGAAGACTCGAACTTTATACCCATCGCTTCAATCACCAAGGCGTTATCCACTAAGCCACGGAGGCGCGATAGCGACCTCTAGTACAACGGGCAATGGGCAAAGGGCCTGAATGTTTTCTCAGTTTCCCATACTTTTAGCCTTTTCCTCCATAAGGTAGTGATGTAATCAGTATTTGTCTGCAACACTTCAGTAGATGTTATCGATGAAATAATACCGGTACTGTTGGCAGTGGTGGGTTTAGATAAGGCATGCAACGTTATTCAGAAGCCATAGAGATCTAATTCCTCTGATGACTAGAGTGTATACTTGGAAGATTTTAAATTTTCGCTTATAATGATGATGAACATTCAGTCATAATAATGACTTTCTTCTTGATGTTTATTTCTATTACTACTTTTATATAGAATGATGCTGAATTTGCAGCCATGAATGCTTCAAATTTGGCTAAACAACTTCATCCTAATACTTCGATAGATGAAACATTTCAAATTATATCGTATATTCATAAACTTGCACGTTATCAAGCTGCACGCTGTGGATTGGTAAAATGTTCACAGGTGGTTTATCAAGTTTACTTGTTTATCATATTACATGTTATGTTGCTTTGAAAATTGAATTCTTCATCCATGTACTTAGTATTAAGTACATTTCTTAGCGGTGCTACCACAACATTTCAATCAAGCTCAATCACGCGGTATTAAATACAGATACCTACAGTAACATAGTCATAGTAGCATGAATCCAATAGTATTTAACCGATAGCCAATAAGATTTTAGTATTCATCACCTATAACCAATCAAAATATCGTTACACATACAAGCACTTTTCATGACATGATTATTCATCATTCATTGGTTGATGTATACGTGAAATGTCTGTCTGTCTGTGTATCGTCACAGTTATGCCTTATAGTATTTTAATGTTATCGTCGTCGTCATGACAACCAATCAGGAAGACTGCTTAACGGTCCGAATTTCCAAATACGTCATATCAGCACATCAAGCAACGAAGTACTAAGATGATACAATAAGAAAGACGTAAATTGTCTGAAGGGTGTTCAGCATATTTTGAACAATCTGATCATCCATGTTAGTAGGTTGGAGGCAATCGGCAGGAAGCCCTGGACCCTAGGTTTGGTGCCTTTTGGTACTCGTCAACAAGGCGTATCTGCAACGTCGATGGAACTGATGTCCTGCCTGAGAGCCGAACCCACGTCATCCAGTGTTATAGTCAGCGGCTTTACCACTTGAGCTATTCGGGCCGCGTGTCATAGGCACTTATATGAAAATTTATTAAAGAGATATAAGAGGTAAAAATATGAAGAGAAGTCAAGTAGGCCGGCTGAATTAAAAGCCAAATGATATTGAAAATTGACGATACAGACGGTAGCTGTTTTCATGCATTACTGTGTAAATTTACTTGCAATGGGAGAAAGTGATTTTCGCTAGTTTACCATCCACTATCCGAAATCACTGAATCTCTCCGCGTCGAGTATGGTTTTACGTTTCTTAGTTATTGTGTTATAGGAGTTTATCTGTAGTTCCCAGTCAATTTTTAATGTAACCGTATCATATTGTTTGCTGAAAGGGACTACTATGTACATACAAATACGCTTATTATCCCATAAGATCTTTAATTTTGAGTAAGTTTAGAACATAAATGTATAATTCAGTACAGTATGTTTGGCTTATGTTAGCCAGTAGTTTATTTTCTGCAGGCAACTTTAAACGCCACCCTAGTAACGATAAGGATAATCAACTGACCTTTTTCGTTTCGGCTGGAAGGGAAGATTTTTCATAAAATGAAGCAGTCTGATTGGTTATTTCAGTTATTGCTAAGGTGACAAATTAAAGTCACTCATTTTCTGCCTCCATTTGCGAGATAATTCGCTGATTGGTTAATGCTTACTTTTACTCTGTCAATATTTCAATTTCCGGACAAGGTCATATCTGTTGTGCATGCATGGACACATATGTTTGGATTAATTGATTAATGTGTTTTAAGGTGAGGTATTATTCACTATAGACTTACCTCAGTCGGAGAACCATTGAAAATCTTGGAGCACTGAATATGTGTTTCGTCCTAGTGTGGAATTCCTCAATCCATGACCCGACCGTGGATCGAACTCAGGACTTTCAGGTTTCACTGGGTACGCGTTAATAATGTAGCGACTGGGTTGGAATTCAGTAGTTCACCGTTTCCAACTTCTGTTATTCCGATCTCTAGCTGTATCGTCGGTACGTACTGCTAAGTAGTCCCATAATAGGAAGAAGTAGCTGTCCAGTGCTTCAAGGTTTTCGATAGTTCTCCAAATAATGTAAGTTCATGATGAATACTACCTTACAATTGATTATTATCCTTGAAGAAATCAACTCTACCATCAGTCTTCTCTATTGGTCTTGGGTAGGAGTTGGTGGTTCTTGTATACAAAGTTAGCTAACAGTTTAGCATACATATCATAACCACTCGGAATATATAACAGTTTATAGATTGATAGATGACTGGATAACAAAGTACGTGCATTAATCCTGTCCTGTCGATTATTGAATGTCACTTTAAACACCGAGTTCCGCGACATTTAACTGTTGACCATTGAATCATCAGTTCAAATTCAATTAAATTGTATTGACAGTTGAATCAATAGGTAAGTGGTTGTTCAGTAGCCTAATGAATGATAACGCTGGTTGCTAGATTCAACTCAGTGTGAAAAACATTACTCCTTAGGAAACAAGTAAATTCGACTGATGAGTCCCAAATAGGACGAAACATGCATCCTGCATCCCATTGGTAGTCACCAATCATCATTGTTATCCTAATTCATAACATAGCCGAGTCTGTTATACTTACCGGTTCATTGTTATTAATTTCCACTGTGTCGGTAAGTTTTAACTGCATATAATTCAATATTTAAATTTGTTCTAGCTGTTCAAGGAGTTATTCGTATCCTACAAACAACCAAAGATGCTGATCTACAATCAGAAGCTGCTGTTACACTTCAGTTGTTAACTAAAGCATTGCCTGGTGCAAAATTAGCTTGTGAAGAGATTGGTATGTTAGCCCTGGTCGAAATGTTAAGGTAAATATAACTGTTTCAAAATTTTACATGCTTCAACTTATGTATATAGTAAGTTTTAGCATTGAATAAATAGTTGGTGATGCAAGTCGACGAGAAGTCTCGAACCGTGACTCTAATCTGACGAAAATGTGTACAGTTTCAATAAAGAGTTTCTGTTGAACAAGTCCTACTGTTTTAAAAAACTTTCGCATCACTTACCTCAGTAGTTATACTATCGAATTGAAATGAACTCAGTAACCTTTCTCACATTCATGCAATAGGCGTCAATGAGTCACACTCTATAAGGACTAATGTTACTATCTTGCTGTCCAGATTTCGGTAAATAAGGCGGGAACCACTAATAAACTTTAGCTCTAATACATAGATTTTCCATCAACATTATGTTTTCGGTTGTATAATTGATGTAAATTAGAAGTTGTGAAACACAATTCTATGATATACAATGTTTTAGTAAATATGAACTTTTTCTCTTACAATATACGGTGACGACGAGATCTCTGCACGAATACAAAGGGCTCGATTGGCTTTTGACAACTTATGCCACCTATGGTGCCGCCGTGATATTCGTTTGTCGATTAAGGGTCGACTGTACTGCACAACAGTCAGCTCTGTTCTACTCTATGGCTGTGAAACATGCCCATTGAAGGTGAAAGACATGAGAAGACTTCAGGTGTTTGACCACTGTTGCCTTCATAGTATAGGCCGTATTCTGTGGTGTCATCACGTGAGTAATGCAGAAGTCAGGTATAGAGTTTGAGGGAGTAGAGGTAAGTCAGTTGACACGGTTGTGAACCTTCATCGACTGAGATGGCTGATTAGGACATGTGTTACGCATGCCTAGTCGCCGTCTACTCACCTCATCACACAATGTTGACCGAAGTAGGTTCAGTCTAGGAAAAGGCTGAGAGAGTGGTTAGACTAGAACACGGTGTCAATGAATGAAGTGTTTGACTGTTCGTTTTGAGCCATATGGGGCTATGCAGACTAGCCGTTTGAGGTTGGTGGGAGAAGAAAAATAAGTGGTTGGAGACTGACTGTAGGTGATATGGCTGAGAATCGATGTATACGCACGCTAACCTCATGCTGACCGCTATACTTAATCTCATCATCTCATTCCTTCCTCCCCTCTTTTACTACTCTTTACTTGTCCCACTTCTTTCGGTCAATTTTTTTTTCTTTCTTCATCTTCCATTTTATTCCCTTGTTTCTTGATGTACTAATATAAAATGTGGCAACTTGAACCGTTGTGTAGTAATGCCTAGTCACGTGATCTTGATGATGGCAGCCCACATTGATAATTACTTAAATTTCACCAAGAAGCAAGGCTTCCAAACAGTCATTATTGACATAGGAGAAAGTCAATGGAGAAAGGTAACACTGGGGTTCTCAACCAAGCTTTACGAGCTGGAAGATCCAATAGAGCCGACTAGGCAAGATAACCAACTCCCTGAAATTTCCTGTAAACATTTTGAAGATAGGTATATTCATCAAAGTCGCCGACGACATTCAATTAGAACAACACAGTACAAAAACTTGATCAAATCTAGTATGGTAGACTCTAATAAACTAAAGAATCTAGAGGGAAGCTCAGCTATTGCAATGCATGCAATCACACACACAACAGGATAGAACGGAAGTAAGAGTCCTTGAAACTAGCCAATCACGGTGAAGGGAGAGAAATTGATGACTGAAGTTTTGTTTATCCAACAAACATCGAATAAGGAGTGACTCAGTAGTTATTCCAGATATCTGGATAATTCTACTGTCTATAAGGTAAACGACGGAGAAGAGAGAGACAGCGGAATTTTCAGCTATGACACCAAGAGTTTTCAATTACTGATTCCTATCATGTCGTGGACCCCAATCAGATAGTCTACATCTCCTCACACAGTTCAAGACTGATTGTTAGAGACTTCGTCGACTGGTACCACTTCTTGGTTTGGTCTCCCTGAACTCTCTTTCAACCTAATCCAACTTCTTCTAGCATGAAGATATCAAGGAAAGCGGTGACTCGGCATCCGCAGCATACATCCAAGTCACCTCAACCGATGAAGGTTCACAATCGACTTACCTGTCTTACTTAGTACCCTTCATCTGACTGACTTCAACACTGCTTACACTGTGATTCCATCAGAGATGTGAGCAATGTAGGTTTTTCATATTTTCTACTTTAAACGATCATGTCTCATAACAGGACAAAATGGACTATATCACAGTTTACTCGTCCTTTGATAGGTGTATGTACCATTTATGCAATCAATGTTATACAGTTAATGCTGTCTATAATTGTCACAAAAGGTTTCTCATTGATCTATACAATTGAAGAAGGTTCCTTATTAGAGATTTGTTCACTTCATTTATCCCACACAAAGGGTGATATAGTATTATTTACTTGAGCATAAATTATCATTGTTCATAATCATCATATCAATGTAATCACACACCACTTTGGATGTCTGAATTTTATAGACCTTTCGTCTCATATTATTTGTTTCTATTGGTGGTAACATTCCCTATATCTCTGGTGCAGGTGTTGCGTCATTCCCAGTACGTGTGTTGGGTGTAGATTCAATGTTCATATATTCAGTAGCCAATCTCTCTCTCCCCTTCTCTGTCCGTCTATCTATCTGTCTGTCTCTCCATCTATCTTTATTGGACTTGAGCACAGTTGCATTATCCCATTCTGTGGTGTGATGCATTTCAGTAGCCGAGTTACTTTCTAGATTATTGATCTTATTCGGGTATCATTCTATATTTAGCTAAGTTTCTATGTTCCGATAATCTAACTAACCAATTCATTTATGAGGCAGTAGGAAATGAACAAGGAGAATTACCTATGTTGGATTGCAGGGTAAAACGAAGGACAGGCGATGGTTTGGATACTACCGTCTACAGAAAACCGACACGTTCTGACAAGTAGGTATCTGGACTTCAAGTCATCTCATCCAATGCCAGTCAGTGAAGACACGTTTAGTCAAATGTCTAAATGATAGAGCTAGAAAAGTGACTAGTCAATGGAAGAACCTAAACAAGGAATTGAAACACATAAAAGAAGCACTAATAGTTAATAATTACCCTCTGCAGTTTATTCAGAAATTCATACGAACCCATAAGAAACGAAATAATAACAGTGAAACGAGTAGAAAGGAGTTCATAGCCTTCATTGTGTTACCCTATAAGGAAGGTTCATCAGAAACTTTACGTAGGATCTTCAACGAAACTGAAATCAGGGTGGCATTCACACCTACAAACTCACTCAGAGATAAGCTTTGTCGGCTGGCTTAAGGATCCGATAGAACCAATTGAGCAAAATATTCTCACCTACCAAATTCCATGTAATCACTGTGAATCAGGTCAAGTACATAGGTGAAACTAGCCGGTTGGGGTCAGTTAGAATAGTGGAACGTAGCTAAATATAGAATGACAAATCCGAATAAGATGAATGATCCGGAAAGTAACTTGGTTGTTGCAATACATAGATTAACAAAACACAACCACACAACAGGATGGGTGGGATACCACCACTATACTTAAGTCTAACAATATAACTAGATGGCAGGAGAAAGAGAGAGAGAGAGAGATCGGTTCCTGAATTTCTGTTCATCGAATCAACCAACACGCAACACATGTAATACAAATAACGACACAACACCTTTACTAAGATTATAAAAGTCGATGATATGATTATGAACAGTGATAATTTCAACTGGAAACGTTGTCATCAGGTACATAATACTGTATCACCACCATTTATATCCAAGTGAAAAAATTCCAGCGATCCGAAAGCTTGGGACATTGCTATACAGTCTGAAGCAATTACTGACCTATTATGATACAACTATGTAATCTCATGCAAGTTGTGAGATTCTAGATTTGTTCATTTTAATGACAAAATGATTGATTTCAAGTTCTTTACTATATAACAATCCTTTTTCATATCTGAACAAACATGTTGTAACACATCAGTTGAATCATATTAAAGTTTACCTATATCCTCATATATTTTATACTAACAGTTTAGGGTATATTTGAACTGTTTCTACTTCGGGTTCTATTCCCGAGCGTTCTAATTGGCTAATGCCTCTTTAAATGTACTAATCATTCCTTGTCTTTCAAGGTTACTGTGAACTCTATAAATAGGGTATGTTTTCAGTCTGAAATACTATAAACTCATCTGATCTCGAGTCTTTTGATTTCTCTTTTTATAAATCACTTCGATTGAATCATCTCAAATCCCTTGACTATCAATTGTTAAGTAACCTCGTTCGTTCTCACAAATCTCTATCATAATAAATAACTAGTGTATTCATCTACCATTTGACGCTTATCAATTGATTCTTGAGGAAGAAATTAGAGCTTCTAGGCAGCCGTGAAGCCAGGTTCAAAAGATTTCAGAAAACAGAGTGGAATGGAGACGTGCTACTGAAGCCTTATGTTCCACTAGAAACCCAAGGGATAATTCAATCATCAATTAATCAATATCAACATAGGACCAGGCAATACTGCGTAACGGTTCGAGTTGCCACCACACCTCATATCAGTACATCAAGTAGCAAGGTAATGAGGTGAAGGATGAAGATAAGAGAGTGCAGTCAAAAGAAGTACGAAAAGAGAGAAACGAAGAATGAGAAAATGATGAGATTCGGTATAGTGTCCTTAAGATAAGGATAATGTGTGTATACATCTGCGCCACTGACATCGGTTCTGAGCCATATCACCTAGAATCTCCAACCACTGATTTTTCTCCCGCCAACCCCAAACGGCTAGTCTGCATAGCCCCATATGGCTCAAAACGAACAGTCAAACACTTCATTCATTGACACCGTGTTCTAGTCTAACCACTCTCTCAGCCTTTTCCTAGACTGAACCTACTTCGGTCGACATTGTGTGATGAGGTGAGGTAGACGGCGACTAGGCATGCGTAACACATGTCCTAATCAGCCATCTCAGTCGATGAAGGTTCACAACCGTGTCAACTGACTTACCTCTACTCCCTCAAACTCTATACCTGACTTCTGCATTACTCACGTGATGACACCACGGAATACGGCCTATACTATGAAGGCAACGGTGGTCAAACACCTGAAGCCTTTTTATATCTTCCACTTTCAATGGGCATGTTTCACAGTCATAGAGTAGAACAGAGCTGACTGTTGTGCAGTACACGCGACCCTTAATAGACAATCGGATATCACGGCGGCACCATAGGTGGCATAAGTTGTCAAAAGCCAATCGAGCCCTTTGTATTCGTGCAGAGATTTCATCAGCAACTGACCCACCAGAGGAGGGCTGACCCTACTTTCCAAGTAAATGAAGTGGTCGCCACACTCAATCACTTCACTCTCTGTTGTTTGTTAGCCATGGCACCGCTGAAGACTAGTCGTGGAGCAGCAATTTGCATTTGTGTAGTGAGAATCACATCCCAAACATTCTCAAATTGACACTCAAATTGTTCAGAAGACTCGGCATCTTGTCAGCGTCTTCACTTAACAGGACTATGTCATCTGCATATTCTAGGTCTAACGAAAAGATAAATAATAATAATTCTTTGCTATTCTACTGTATGGAGTTGATCGATCTCTGTTACTATGTGACGTCTTATGCGGGGTGTCTGCTGATATTGTTTGATATCCGTTGCAGAACAGTTGGTTTCATGAAGCAATGAGTGTTAGATACAACTCTCTGTAGGAACACTACCAACCACAAGCATGTGTTAGTTGGATTCCATTACTAGCCACCTATTCCATTCAATAAGCAAATATCATCCAAATGAAACGTAAAGCAATAGCAATACATTCGTTTAAGATGGTCATAGTGCTAGGAAAGACTAGTCACCTCGGTGATTCAATGAAATTCTCAATTTATTTCAGTTATATTTACTATTCCACCACAAATTCGTATCGTAATTTCTTGGTACAAGTTGAATTTCAGTTGTTTCTCTTCACTTTTCTGCAAAAAGTTTTTTTAAAATCATATTAGTTTAGTTGGTAGTTCAGTTTTATCATAGACTGACATTATCAGTTGAACAAAGACAGGAAATCTCGGAGTGACTCTTTTACCTACACCTTGCAAGGTGTCAAGCCGAAGACCATTAGGTCTTGTTTTGAGCATGTTATCATTTAGCTGATGGATTAAAATCCAAGGTTTCACGTTCTCCTCCTTCTGTCGATTTACAATATGGTGTGACTGTCGTCTAGGGTCGTTGGCAAGTAATTGTCCAGTAGGCAATAATGTTGTCGATGAGGATGACATTCACAAATATATCTTGCCACAACATGAATTGGTTACGACCAATCTTCATAAAAGGAAGTGAATGTGACTAGAATAAGTGTATGTAGACATTGAATATGAATTGTTTTATCTAGTGATTGTAAAACGGGTATTCAACGCGAGTAAAGTAACTATGACTCTCTGGGGTAACCGAATACCTAGCCGATGGTGCACATTTAACCGTTCTTGCTTGAGCAGCCGGCTTGATAGTGATTGTGATGATAACAGTGTTTCGAGTCATTGTCTTCACGTGGTTTCCGCTGATAAGCAGATGTTAACTAATCATCTTTCCGTTCAGATCTAGGGTTTCGGAATAAAGAAAACCGTTTGATCTGGTTACTAGCGGACCTAACCAGATATTAATAAGTACTCTACAGCACCTAATCTATTAGCTCAGGGCATGCCTTACAGGGATTTGCTTTTTGTTTTGGCCTAGGAGAGAGTAGACAGTGCATGTAAAGTGTCATGAAAGTGATAGAATATATACCTGCTGCCTTCTCCGAGTAGGACGTAGTTGGCCGGCATCTTTGTTTATATCTCTGGTATGCGTTGCAGATGGAATGATGAGGTCCATCCTACTGACTGAACCGGCGGTCTTTATCGAATACTCAAAGCCATGAAGCTCTTGTCACCCACCTTGGCTGGGAAGTGGGTCTTCAGAAGCAGTCACCGATTGACTCTCGAACCTAGTCAGTTATCTACTAACCCTGCAGGCGGTAAGGGCTGAAATACCTCAGTGCCACCTAACTAACTGAGTTTAGGGGATGCAACCGGCCTTAACGAAATAAACCATCCCGGACACTTGATGCTGTCCCATCTAAAGAGGTATGAGAAGATACCCCTGGGTTTGGGGCCTTCTCCCTTATCAGGAGTCCATCACCTGTTGTGTACACAGCCTTCATGTATGTGCGCCTAATCTGAAACTGGCCCATTTTCTGGTGACGAGCGATTGTAAAGCTCATGTTCGTTATAGTATCAGTCATTTTTCTAAAGAATTAAGTGAGTGTGACCAATAACTTTAGGGTGTATCCAAGACCATTTGTTGATATTTGATCGACACCGATTCCCCGACGAATGAGCGCAATCTAAAAGGTAACAAACCATACGAAACGATTGTGTGAACCGGAGCTCAGTAAGCATATCAAAGCGTAATTACACTCAAATAGCTTCTAAACTTAAAGCTGGCCCTCTGCCCATACAGGAAGACGCTACATGCACAACAAATGTTTGATTTGTTCCCGGAATGAATGATCATCTTAAAACAAACGACTTCATGTATAGTTCCCACAACATGGATAGTAAATCAGCAAGGATAGTTCATATTAGACATCTGTAGACATTTACACCAAAAAATCATCAGTATCTGTGCAGTTTCATGGAAACCAGACATCTCATACACTGAACACGTTTTGTTAGCTTTATTTTTCCTCATAATCGGTCTTTAAACTTCTTATTGAACTATAGTTTTCTGTGTATATTTCTCTATCAAGACATCCATCTGAAGTGATGTATACAACTTCCTTATACGTCCTCAATCAACTGTTATGGCATCTACCAAATTCTGCACGTCCAGAATTTCGATCTTATGATGGACAGTTGAATCTAATCTATTTACTTGAAGGGAATCGTTTAAAAGATCCTAATTGGTTACTTATCTGTTTGGATACACTACGTATGGCAGTTTATGAAAGCAGTGAAACAAAGTTATCATTAACATCAACAAATATTTATCAAATTATTGTATGTCTTTTACGAACTTATCCTAATAACATGAAAATAGCCTACAATATAGCAAGACTGGTTAAAGTATTGAGTGTATGCAATGAGAATAAAGTCAAACTAGTTGAAGCTGGAGCTGTCGAAGTAAGTCAGTTGATATATGTATGTATAAAACTGTGGTTGTGATTGGTCTAATTCGCATGATTCTACCAATTCAGTCCAAATGCTGACCTTGCACTTGATTGGTCTTGAATATATTTGACCAATCGTGTATATTCAATACACCCACGCACACGTTCAGTTACACAACTCTACCTTACCAAACGTTTACAGCAGATGACAAATTCAGGTGGTTATTATCGGCATATTTCAGATGATCTGACTCATCTGTACACATACAACTGAATCACCTGACCACAACGCACCATAATTTTCATAGAAATGAAACGACCAATTTCGAGCATCAAACATGGGATAATCCGCAATGATGAGTTCCATTCAACATGCTGCAATTATTTCAAAGAATAAATTAAAATACGGAAATAGATGAGAGATCCATCGAAACCTCTTGAGCTGAGCTGTACAGTAATGCTACTAATTAAGTCATAGTTGAAGTGATTTCTAGAGTAAGTCAAAGAGCATGACACTTATCTGAGAATCACAATCTCCACATTTTGGCTGATACAGCTCTAATATGCCGTTCGTTCTTGGTTTTATTTGTGTATTGTATTGCTATAAAATTTTGCGCTTGCGTTTAGTCCTGCTCGAGACTCATCAGCCGGATGTGAATTTGTTTCCTACCGCCTACTCACATTCTTATTGAAACATAGACTCTAAACCTAACACTTTAGTCATCTGTTAGGCTACTGACTTATGTAAGCCACTACTATTTGTTCAACTAGTACACGTATAGGATAACCGAATATTATGTGGGATTGTATACCGCTAACGACTGATGAATAGGATAAACCGCGTTTCTTTCATTTCGTCATCGACTATGACCTGAAAAAAGCGTGATTTAACAAAAGACAGTTCAACGGAGAAAATTTTCCGATGAGTCAGTTTCAAAAGCTGTGCAGCTGTAATCACAAGATGACAACGGCTGGGAGGTCATCTCAAGGTCATCAAAACCTACTTATAGGATTACAGTAAATAAACTAACAGTAAACAAAGAAATGACCAAGGGAAAATTAGAGATTGGATAAATCTCTTGAACGCAAAGATCAGGCTTGAACCCCTAGACTGCCAAAATGTCTGCTATGTTGAGGTGGCGAATACGCACTCCCTCCAAAATGTTTGATTTCTTATTATGAATGAATGAATTCGAAAGATTCTTGTGGACCAAAGGGATCATAGTTAAACAAATCCTCAAGTATCCAGCTGTCAATAGCTTTATACTCTTCACTAAACAGCAATGCAGACTGGTTGTCGGAGATGCGTTCGAAAGGGATACGCTTTGTGTGGCCCATGTAGCTAGCTCCATAAAAGCAAGTGGATTGATAAATACACAGGAAGGCAGTCCAAAGCGCTAGTTGACCCTCTTTACAACCTTGAATCAGTTATCGACTGGAGAAAACAAGCAGAACATAGGCAGAAAAGAAGATCTTTTTCGGTGCTTTGCACAACTGATTCTTGAATATCTCTAACCAATGTGTCTCCTTTGAATAAAAAGTTACCATCGAATCGTCTCAGGCAAGTGAATGACATGACGGTACACAGTGACTGCTTCGTTCGAGACAATCGACAACGAGTAGCAGTGCGCTCTAACAACTGCGATTATTCTAACTTTTGTAGTTATATCCCGTCCATCCATCCATCCATGTGTGTGTGTGTGTGTGCGTGACTAATAACCTTCCCTTCTGAACACCTTTTAATTCTCATCCATCTTAATTTCCAATGAGAAGAATACACTTGTATTTTTGAAGTACAAAAGTTTCAATAATCACCGTTGTTAGATCGTAATCCTAACCGTTGTCAATGGTCACGAATCATTTCAGTTGCAAAGAATATATTCTACATGAATTTTGACTTTAGAGGTGATTTCACCACTGATATCTTGAAAAGAAGAATATGAAACGTTGCTGAAGAAAACTTTCTTCGTATCAACCTTGAGGATAATATTATCCAATTGTTAAATGTTTTTGGATAGCCTGAAGGGTGAGCTTCGCATCTGACCACTTCATGTGTATTCAACAATTCCTGTGGAGCCAAGTATGTTGGTTGTTGGATGCGCGTTCTTTCCAAACACGTTAGAGGAGATTACCGCAACTGGCTTCAAAGAGGTGTGAGTATATCCATCAGAGGTGCAATCACTGAACATCTTGTCAACTGACACTAGTCACAGAATCACAATTGATTCAGACATTTCCATCTTTTCTCCACTCCACAAGCTCTTACCATGTGCATAGATAAACTCGAGTTATGTGTACAAGAGAAACTTGTGAAATCTTTGTTGCTACCTTGGACTTGGTAAATTGTTAACAATACATCGACCTCTATCTGTGTCTCTCTTATTATTTACAATTTCATTTTCATGATTTTGCGGTGAAAATCATTTTCACATATTCGGAGACTTCATGATTCTATCCGGTTAATTATGTTGGTTTCTATGCTCCTTTTTCCATCAAATTTTTGAATTTTTAATCTTCATTCAACTTACTAGGTAGTTTAGTGAAATGATAATTCTTGTATAGTTGAGCGTGCATAATGTTAAATAGATTTTGCTGAAAGTTTTCCTTGAGAAAAGAATATACAAAGAGAGGCGAATACAGCGCATACTTGTTATCAAATTAACCAACTGTCTTGAAGAAATTTACATGCAGTTCATGGTGTACCATTTGGCCTGCTAACAACTTTCGAATACCTTCGCAATACAGTGTTGTCTTTTTTTCTAGAGTTCATGAAAAAATAAAGGGGAACAATAAGTAAGTATAAGTAAAACGTAATGAGTAGAGACTGTGTTATGCTAGACTTCATTCTCGAGTTAAGGATTCTCAAATAACTGGGATCCACTTTTATTTTCATCTTTTCGGTCCCTTCTGAGATTCACCTTTAAAAGTTGTATGACAGTTGTTGAAATAACGTTGAAGTAGAATTTGGGTACTAAAGTAAAAAATAATTTCGTATTAAATGATTTTCCACCCGATATATCACACAGTATACAAGTATTGTTTTACTATAGATGAACAAGGTTGTCTCCCACCACCGTTTATCATGGTTTCACACTCCATTTGTTTTTGAAGCTATTTAGATACATGTTCTTCCACCCTCAACTGCATGACTCGATTATTCCCCCCCCCCCCTGTGTATATGTGACCACACACACATGTAAATTGGTAAACACAATGGGATATGACATAATCATTGATGCAGTTTGTAGTGAAGTGTATGTTTTGTTTTTTTCCACAAAGATTAAGTGCGTAATATGTTTTCCCAATGACTGATGTTAGCTTACGTTTCAAAATGATACTATTCAATTCCCGCCTTATATGGTAGAGTGATGTAGACGCTTTTCTTAGGAACCGTGTATAGAGTTGGCTTCGGTGCTACTTGACGTCTACTTTCCATAAGTGTTTTGATCAGTAATTTGATATCTTCATCCATCCTATCTGATATACTGATAAGATAGATCCTGTTAAACAGGCATTTTGCTAGATCATGCTTGTATTGGATTGGACAAAAACTGTGAAAATTCGGGTGTCTTGTCTGTAAACTGGCTGTCTTATTGAACCATCTTCTCGTCGATTGAGGAGTATATCTAGAAATGGTAGATGATTATTATTCTCTTTCTCACAAATCAGGCTGATGTCAGTTTGTATAGTGTCAAGTCTTTTTAGTAGACAAGCCATATCCTCACGCCTCTCACAAATCACTATGATGTCATCAACATATCGTAAAGAGAAACTTTAGCAATGAGATCACCATCGATACGACATATCAATATCAGCTAGTAATGGTCCTAAGGCAGAAAAAGGCGGCGAAGACGGGACTTCAAGTGAATATAGAGAAGACAGAGGTGATGAAGATACCCAACCACCACCACCACCAACAACAACAACAACAAACTCCAATCACCATCAACGGCAGAAACTTAAAGGAAGTAGCCTCTTTCACGTATCTAGGAAGCACTGTTTCAACTACAGGTGGCACACACGAGGATGTCAAAGTCAGAATCGGAAAGATGGCAAAACAGGCGTTCATTAACCTGAAACCAGTGTGGAGATCTTCTGCACTCCACTCAGCATAAAACGTGCGTGAACAAGGTCCGGATTTTCAACACCAACGTCAAGTCATTGATTTTGTATAGTTCAGAGACTTGGCGCGTTACGAAAGGGATTTCCAACAAACTACTGACATTCATCAACAACTGCCTACACTGGTTCGTTAGTGAAGCTCAGATGGCCAGAATAATAAGAATAAGTAACAAGGAACTCTGGCTGGCTGGCAACGAATCAACGAAGCAACAACCTATCACTGAACAAATATGCGGAGAAGGAAAGTGTAGATGGATTGGGCATACACTGAGAAGGCTGACTGGGGACATCATGACTCAGGCCAGTTGCCGGAGTGGGACCCAGATGGGAAACAACGAGTTGGGCGTCTGAGGTGAGGGTGACATGGAGGAGATCGTGCGAGGAGTAAATGACAGCTTGTGGGCTGTCGTGGAACCAGGTTCAAAAGTTTGCAGAGAAGAGAGTGGAATGGAGACGTGCTACTGAAGCCTTTTGTTCCATTAAGAACCCAAGGGACAAATAATAAATAATAATAATAATAATGGTCCTGAGGAGACTACCCATCATTGCGACACCGTCAACTTGTCGCAAGTGTTCACCTTCAAATTTGAAATGAACTTTGTCGGTACGCAGCAATAATCGCTACCTCAGGAAGTTTGGAGTAATAGAAAATGGGAAGTTTCTAGAAGATATTTAATCACAGAGAACGCAGATAGTCTTGGACAACGGCACACCAGTGAATAAAGAATTTACATCGAAATATTACACTCTTGTTCTTGATATTCATGTTACTAAGACAGTCAATCATTTGAAAAGAATCTTTCAATGAAAACTTACAGAATTCGTTTCGAATTATGTTGTATGTTGTATCAAATAAACTTATTTAGTAGTCTGTTTCGAGGTAGTATTCACCATGGGCTAACATCAGCTGGACAGCTATTCCGTCCTAGTTATGGGACTCCTCAGGAGTGCGCACACATAACCCGGCTATGGATCATATTCAAGACTTTCAGGTTTCACTGAGAACTCGTTAACCATTCAACGACTAGGTTGGAATTCAATGGTTCTCAGTTTCCAACTTCTATCAGTTCGTGGTATAGGGAGACTATCGTTTTCTTTTCCAACTGGTAGTTGGCCCCATAGGTCACCACTTTTGGAAACATGTCACACGTCAACACTAAAAGGTGAATAGGGATTCTAATTTTGAGGTAGTATTCATCATCAACTGATATTTCTAAAATAGTTAGTCAGTTAACGACAGTAAACAGTGTAAAGTTGCCTTACGGAATCAGAGTAGTGGCCAAACTAACATATATCACCAGTTCATGAAGTCTCTGGCTATTGGTGTGAGCTATGTGGAGAGGTGTAGACTGCCTGGTTAGTGACTGTTGGTGATATGGTTGGAAATCGATCATACAGTGGCGTGTAGATGTGTCCTCTCTTTAACATATATCGACTCTGTGTTTCTATATGGTTCACAGACTTGGTGCGTTACGAAAAGCATTTCCGACAAACTGCATACATACATCAATAGCTGCCGCCTACGCTCACTAGATACTGAAAATCAGATCAAAAAGAATGAGCAAGGAGGAACTCTGGCCTGGCAACGAACCAATCAACCAAGAACCTATCGCCTGATAAATATGTAGAAGAAAGTGGAGATGGATTGTATTGGATAAACACTGAGATGACGGTTTGGGGGATATCACGCCCCAGGCCAGGTCGTCCAGTGGAATCGAAAAGGGAAACGATGACTTTGGCGTCCGAAAGTGACATGGAGGAGATGGTGTGAGGAAGAAATGAAAGATTCCGCGCAGTCATAGATCCAGGTTACAAAGACTGCAAAGAACAGAGTGGAATGATGACGTGCTAGTGAAGCCCTATATTCCACGAAGAGGAACCTAAGGGACAGATAATAATAATAATGTTTGAACATTCTCACTAAGGATGACTTCTAAATATCCTTTCCTCCTATACATCTTCGTCTTTTTCTATCCACTTATTTTCCTTGCATGCTGGTGTGAAGTGTGGCAACTTCAACGGATACGTTTCTATGTGACCTCCTACGCTAGTTTCATCTTTTCTGTCTGTTAGTGTATTTTTACACAGGAAATTTTGTAGTGTATGAAACATACAGATTGGAGATAACAAATACTGCGAATTATGAGCACACCGGTTCTATCAAACATCTTGAATTTGAGTGCCCAACAGAGTCGGGAAATCAATTGACACTCTTCGGTTGTCCGTAACGTAGAAGCCTACGTCTTCTTGAGGTACTTCAACAAAGAATTGTGCTAGTAATAGTGGTGTGCGTCTCAAGAACCCAAAAAACCTCTAGTTGAGATCGGTCCTAAACGGCTTTTTTAGGATCTTGGCGTTTCTCGATCCATTTATAAAGTTGTACATACCATCGGCACCTGATGACCTCAAGGCAGACAGTAGTTCGCTATGTTCAAGGTCTATATTTCGAAACACTTTCTTTATCATAGGGAAGGCAGTATCAGCGTGGTACTGCTGGTTATCCACGGGAAACACACATTATTGCTGTCACACCCCAGCTCTTGGACCCCCCATCACACCATGACGTTAACTGGTTTTTATCTAACCACTATCCCTCTATCATTTCTGGTGTTATAGAGCCTTGAGAGAATAGACCTTCCTACCAACATAGCTCATTGGACCATTGTGATGCGTAAGCCGCTTGAACACCACATCAAGGTAGCAGGTACCGTTCGAGTCCGACAGAACTATTCGGATATTGTAGTCGGCTGTGTGAAATACTTTCCAGTAATCCTAATTATCTATAGACAGACTACACTAAGATTTCTAACTTATTTCCTGATTTTTCATCGTTTCACACGTACATATCAGTGTGAATTCATATCAAAAATGAACTTGCTTCGGGAAAATAGTTTAAATCTAGATAAAGTTGTGTAAGTGATTGGTGAAAATCTTAAAGCCTTGAATAGTGTTTCGTCTCAATTTACACTTCTTCAACTCTTCCAGGAATGGAACAGCGGACTATACTACATCAATATGAATTATTTATTTCATTGTACTGAAATCTCTTTCTCTTTGAATTTTAGGCATTAACTCCATTGTTAAATTGTGCTAATGAAGTACTACAATTGGAGACACTGTGGGGATTACGAAATATCAGTGATCAAGCCTATCATCTGGTGGCGACAAAAAATCTTATCCCAATACTAATCAATCTGTTGGCTAGTAAAAATGAGCATATATCTATTTGTTCTGCTGGATGTTTGTGTAATTTAACCTGTCAAAATGTACAGAATAAAAGTTTACTCGTTGAAAAAGGTAAGTTATAAATTTGACCAGCAAGTATAGAAGGATGATATGAGATCGTATGTTTTCTTTACAACCCTAATATCATCATCATCATCAACATCAATATAGGACCAGGCATTACTACATAACAGTCCGAGTTGCCACCACACCTCATATCAGTACATCAAGTTGAAAGGTAATGAGGTGAAAGATGAATATAAGAGAATTCAGTCGAAAGAAATATAAAGTACTAAAATAGACAGAGAAAGGAAGAATGAGAAAGTGGTGAGGTTCCATATAGCTTCGTTAAGATGAGGACAATCCGTGTGAGGATACATCTCCGCCACTGACACCGATTCTCAGCCATGTGATCATCTAGAGTCAGTCTCCAACCACTGGTTCCTCTTGTCCCGCGGACTTCAACCGACTAGTCTGCATCGCCCCACATGGCTCAAACCAACAGTCAGAGACTTCATACATTGATACCATGTTTTAGTCTGGCCACCTCGGGCTTCTTTCCAGCTTAGACCTACTTTGGCTAATATTGTGTGACGAGCCAGACGACGACTAGGCATGCGTAATACGTGTCCCAATCATCCATCTCAGTCGATGAAGGTTCACAACCGTGTCAACTGACTTACCTCTACTCCCTAAAACTCTATACCTGACTTTTGCATTACTCACATGATGACACCACGGAATATGGCCTATAATATGAAGGCAACGGTGGTCAAACACCTGAAGTCTTCTCATGTCTTCCATCTTCAATAGCCGTGTTTCACAGTCATAGAGTAGAACAGAGCTGACTGTTGTGCAGTACAGTCGACCCTTGATAGACAATCGGATATCACGGCCGCGCCATAGGTGGTGTGAGTTGTCAAAAGCCAATCAAGCCTTTTGTATCCATGCAGAGATTTCATCAGCAACTGACCCACCAGAGGAGGGCTGACCCTACTTTCCAAGTAAATGAAGTGGCTGACACACTCAATCACTTCACTCTCTGTTGTTTGTTAGCCATGGCATCGCTGAAGACTAGTCGTGGAGCAACAATTTGAATTTGTGTAGTGAGAACCACATCCCAAACTTACTCAAATTCCTACAACCTCAGTAATATCTTAATGTTTACACTACAAAGTGTAGGTTCACTTCTTTGCGGGATCGTAGATGCTCACTGCTGAAGAATCCCAGAAAAGGACGAAACGACTGTTCAGTTCTCCAAGGTTTTCACTGGTTCTCCAACTGATAACAGTTCTTGATGAGTAATAATGAACAGGTTAAATTAACTTTCTGATAAGTTCTCCTGTTTGTGGTATCCAATCATCACTTTTTAGGACGAGTTGTAAAAAAACCAGACTTCTTTGCGACTGTACTGAACTCCATTCTTTTCGTATTAAATTTTCCATGTTTATCAATGAACGTCTATGGGTAACCATTATCATGCAAACATCTCTCAACAATGGATAACTGTTTTTCAAGTTTTTCTTATGAGCACATTTTTTCGCGTACAGTTGAATAACTTTCTAATCACCGCCTTTTTTGTACTTCACTACTATGACCGGTAGTATGACTTAACAGTCCACAAACAATACAAACCTAACACACAGATGAATCAACTCTAACGCAAATCAGAACGTCAACCAACCACCACGACAACAATACCACTGATACACAAAGACAAAAAGAGAAGATAGATCGTTGATAAAGAGCGTTTTACTGTTACAGCAACAGTCAATTTAGTTGATAGCGTTGCTGAATATATACATTTCTAAATGACCTTGACAACACTAAATTCACGCATAGTTAACAACCAATGAGAGTTCAGCTTTGAGAGGAGAGGGAAGAAAAACTGGTAACGGTTTGAAAACATCAATGTAGGTTATTTTCCAGGTCATGGAATAAACAGCAGGCAAAAGCAGTACAAAATTAGGGATATAGTAGGAGCCTTTGAAGTTAAAGAAAAGCCCACTTCAACTTGACTTTCGCCGAATAATATCTTTGAATTTTACTATCTATGTCATACTGGAATATCAAAGTTCAAAAAATGAAACTTGTTATCATGTTCACATTTTTATTGTGAATTCGTTTTGTTATGAAAATCGGAGAGAAGATTTTATAGGTTGTATTAGGTTAGGAGAGAGCGAGCCGAGGTAGTTTCTGACTATCGATCTGAGTTGTGTATGCTACCCCCGTGACTGAGGTCCTTGAGACGATAGGAATCGGTGGTTGAAGAATCTTAGTGATATGGTGCAGACGTATTCACTCTCCGACGTCTTCTAAAGTTTGAATGTTTTGACTAACCTTCATTTCAAAACTTCCTTTCCTTCCATACACGTTTGTCAACTTAAACATCCCTCTTTTTGTATCATCTTGTCCTTCGCATGCCTCTGTGAAGTTGGACAACTTCGGCTGTTGCAGTTGTGTCCGAGGTTGTCTGTCGGTTGGACCACTTCGTGTTACTTTATAGTACCTATCGTTTGTTGGATGGAGGCAGTCGACAGGAAAGCCTAGAATATCTGGGTTTCGTGGTTGTTGCCACTCGTCAGTGATGCGTATCTGCAACCTGGACGGAAATAATGTCCTGCCTGAGGTTCGAACCCGTGTTATCCAGTGTTGTAGTCAGTCAGTAACGTTGCCACTGAGCTATTAGGGCTGTGACTGACGTCCTGTAGGACTGGATTAGATACATTGATTGGTTACCCTCCAGTGACCAGTCAGAGTAACTAGCGTTTCTTCCACATACCTTTAGCATGTTTTATTTGAGCGCACTGTTGATTTACTAATGGTCTCTATGATTTATTGGTGGTTTCGTGTACGTTTTTCAATGTCATCTCACAGAATTGCAACACACATATACACAACTTCATAAAGTTTATTGAGGATAGAACAATCCATGAAATACTCGATTTTACTGTGCTCAAAGTTGATATAAATGTTATATATTCCGAAGGAATATAATACGCACATTTAACTGACAGCTAACTTCTTACTCAAGAGCCACCAACTGCAACATGAGACGAATAGAGAAGAAGACCGAAGCTGGCAGATGGGAGAGTTTATTCCTCCGAGTATATGAATCAATCCCAAACATATGAATATGTATACACCGTGTGTCCGCAATTTGAGACATTGACATAGTAAGAGTAAGAATTAACCACTCAGCGAATCACCTTGAAAATGGGGCAAAAAATAAGATACTAATCATACTGTAAAACTTGTGTGAGAATGACCAGTTAAAAATGTTAAGATCTATGTGATAATGTTTTATGCAAAACTGGGGGCTTACAACAAGAAACTGCTTAAAACCAAAACAATATGGATTGTCTTATTGATTTTTTACATTTCTCGTTTCGCTTAATTGTTAGCGTTTGTTTGTAGTATTTAATTCATTCTCATTCGATTACATGTAGAAAAATGATCATTTGTGCTACGTTACTATGAGGTAATGGCTAGTTTTCGTTGGAGTTTTAGAGTGAGGAATATAAGACTACTATGTGCTCTGGCTGCTAACGATGCACAGATATAGACTGTTAACCACCAACATTTAACAAATTCCTAGTTGATTTCCGATCCGACTAATTAATGGAGAAGACACGATAGACGTATAGTAACGTGTATTGGAGTGGAAAGACCGAAGACCCAAAACTAAGGAAGCTACATCTAGTATATAGGATAGTTCGTTGTTTAAAATAATCCTATTGATAGGCTGATCCACCGTCTAAGCTCTCTACTCGAACACTTGTGGGCATGTTAGAGCCTATGGCAAGTTGTCCAGGGAGCTATACTCATCAAGTGGTGTCCGTCAAGGATGCCCACTATCCCCATTCTTATTTAATTTTATCATAGATATTCTTATGGAGGTTTCCCTCTCCTCACCTAATTACACAGACGTTGACCCAATCACAGGTGAATTTTCTTTAGATCTAGAATATGCAGATGACATAGTCCTGTTAGGTGAAGACGCTGACAAGATGCAGAGTCTTCTGAACACTTTGAGTGGGAATTTGAGAATGTTTGGGATGCGGTTTTCACCACCCAAATGCAAATTTTTGCTCCAGGACTGGTCTTCAGCGGTGCCCCACCGCGGCTAACAATAGAGAGTGAAGTGGTTGAGTGTGTTGACCACTTCACTTACCTGGGAAGTAGGATCAACCCTGATGGGTTAGTTGCCGATGAGATTTCTGCACGGTATTTGACCACCGTTGCCTTCGTAGTATAGGACGTATTCCGTGGTGTCACCATGTGAGTAATGCAGAAGTTAGGTGTAGAGTTTGAGGGAGTAGAGGTAAGTCAGTTGACACGGTTGTGAACCTTCATCGACTGAGATGGCTGATTGGGACACGTACTACGTACGCCTAGTCACCGATTGCCTCGTCACACAATGTTGGCTGAGGTGGGTCCAGGCTGGAAAGAAGCCCAAGGTGGCCAGACTAAAATATGGCACCAATGTATGAAGTCTCTGACTGTTGGTTTAAGCCATGTAGGACGATGCAGACTAGGTGGTTGGGGTTCGCCGGACAAGAGGAACCAGTGGTTGGAGACTGACTCTAGGTGATCACATGGCTGAGAACCGATGTGGTGCACATGTATCGCCACAAACATTATCCTCATCTTAACAACGCTATACCGAATCTCACCATTTTGTCACTCCTCTTTTCTTTCTTCTCGTACCTTATATTTCTTTTGACTGCATTCACTTATCTTCATCCTTCACCTCACTACCTTTTTACTTGATGAACTGACGTGTGGTGTGGCAACTCGGAGCGTTACGCAGTAATGCCTGGTCCTATGTTGATATTGATGATGATCCACCGTCTGTCTATCTAACTATACAAGTGATGACATAAACTACGTTCTGATTGGTCGTCCTCTGGACTGGTTTTTTCCCTGTTATGGGAAAGGAATTATTTATCACTACTTGTTGATATACTTTTAGTTTTCCGATGTGATCTAGCATCGAATTAGTCAACCCCTGTTGGCATATGCGCTTCTATGTAGATACCTCGGTAGTATTACCTGAATATTCATATTTATTTTGTTCACAAAAAGTGGCTCTTTCATCCCATTAGTTTAGTGGATAATGTTTCGGTTTACTAAGCGATGGGTACTGGGATCGTGTCTCATTCGGAACAATGTCACTTACTGTGGCCCAGATGCATCCAGCGGATGGGTGAGTTTCTAAATATGTTGATGCACTTGTCGTGAATTCCACTGCCAGTGGCCATGTAGCTAATAACAACATAAATGAATAATCAGGCAATATTGAGACATCTAAACAGGAGCACATTTTTCTATCAGGTTAATAAATTCTATCCAGTATAACAACGGGTAGTTACAAGTACCAGTAAGTAATAGTAATCTTCTGTTCTGAAGTGACTGACAGAATAATACAAGAATGCTACTAAGACAATGAGATATTTAAACTGGATACAAACAGTGACTGTTTTCCCTCAGAACTTGATACTTCACTCTGCTGCGAAAATCAGAAGACAGACACTGATGTGTGACTTCAGGGAAGACAACTTTATTTATATACAGTTTTTTTCTCGGAAAATTAATCCACAAGGTCAGAAGTTGAATACTTATTTTGATTGGTCAACTGTAGGAATCAAATTGTCCAATAGGATTTTTCCCACCCAAGGTTGAAAAATTGGAAACTTCTACCTTACGGGCCGATGACCTAGAATGTTGATTTCTGTTTAGGTCACTAACCTCCAACAGTCATTGAGAATCCTGACAAAATGAGGTCGGTCTATTTTTTTTTCTGTTTAGTAGAAGTCGTATTAGATTGAAAGAAGACTCAGAGTGGGAAGATCGAGACGTGGCACCAATTACTGAAATCTCTGACTGTTGATCTGAGCCGTGTGGGAAGAGATGGAGACTCCCTGGTTCAGGATCGCCGAGAGAGTAAAAATCAACGGTTGAAGACATCCTAGTTGACATGACTGGAACTTGTCTTCCAGAGCTTGGATGTTTTGACTAGTCCTACATCTTACTCTTATACACCTTTGTCCACTTTGATATCAAGCTTTTTCTGTTCACTTTTTCTTTGAATCCTACTGTGATACACTTGTTTGCCCCTATAATCACATGAAATACCCCTAAAATTATTCATAATTATAACACAGATTAGCGACCACGTACACATTTGTTTACTCTGTTCAACGATTTGCACTTCAATAATTCGCACTGGTAATACTATCCACATGTAGTCAGGGTAGGCAGGTTAACTTGTTGAACGGATGATACCAATGGGGTCATGATCGATTGCTTTGATCGATAATGGTAGTTGGATTCTGGGATTCGACTTCTCTTGTGTGAACTTCAATTAGTGTGTCGGACCGACATCAGTTGGAGACCTGGGAGCACAGGAAAGCTGTTTCATCCTATTGTGGGACTCCTCAGCAGTGCGAACCCATGACAGCACCGGAGATCAAACTCCAAGACCTTCAGGTTCCCCGACCAACACCTTACCATTGAGCCAGTGAATCGACTCAAATCTTCAAATTAAATCTAGCTTTCATAAAAAAACGCTTTGGTGTTTGATTCAGTGGGTCTTAGTTTCGATGGAAACAACATTCAGCAGATGAGTGAATCAATGGACTCCTCCTGGATTTCACTGCTAATAACCACGAAGCAGATTACAATGCGTATAACTTTTTATTTATTGAACAAACCTGTACGGAATGTCTGAGTTATATTATTTATCATATATTGTTATTTTATTTACTGCTTTATTTATATATAGGTGGTGTCAAAGTTCTCTGCAGGCTGTTATGCTTAAATCCAGATCGACAAGAGATAGCTGAGCCTATCTGTTCAGCATTAAGGCATGTAACTCATCGTAATCCACATGCTAATGCAGCAGTCTATGAAGTAAGCCATTTTACATACAACTAACTATCTACTATTTTAGTGTTATTGCTTGTATTACACCGTCGTTGATTGAACCGAATTGATCAGCCTCTGTTGGCATATGGGCTCCTATGTGGATGTCTCGATATTGCCTGTCTTTTAATTATGTATAGTAATGATGGGCAGTGGCTAGCAATTTGAAGCCATCGCTCCTGAGTCCCAGTGGGAACAACATCACTCACTGGGAGGCAGGTACATCCAGCTGACGAGTCCTAAATAGGACGAAATGCTCATCCTGGATTCCACTGCTAGCCACTGCCCATAATTATTATATCTCCTACTTTGTTTGTATTCTTGTCGTTAGACTCTACACTAACAACGATAACATTACACTGAAAGTGTTGACCAGTAGTATCCTAGTGCATCAGGCATCAGCAATACATGAATGTTCAGAGTTCAACTGACCTCATAAAAACTGCCTATGTAGACATTTTTAAATATAGTGGGAAATATTTCTTAAAACAACTTCTCCATCTGATGATTACTATGGTTCAGAAGTATTCAACTTTGTCTCTCATCGAACTTGTGATACTCCAAGAAGTATCTCTTTTTTTTCACTTGCTAGCCTATTTTATCGAGTGATACATCACACGTACAAGTTTGTGAGATAATTTTGTTTTAGACCTAATATTGGATATGGTATGGGAAAGTAAGTGCAAGAGAGCAGATATAGGAATGTTTGATTAGCTTTCGCTTACTCCTGAAATTGTGTAGGGAGTTAATACCGTTTACCTACACACACCGTACGAGTTTTTTTTCTAAAAAAATACCTAAAGGAGTAGAAGGAGTAGTTTTGTGTGACTGCAGAGCCTTCCCTTACGAGGCATCAGCTTGACCTTTTTAGGATTCTTGCATTAATATTTTATTATGCCAATTCTAGACAGCATCGGCACCGAAATACCTCGATGCCAAGGAATGAATCTTTCCTAACCTTTACCCTCATTCCATGGGGTACGGAACATCAGTGTAGTACTTCTGGTCATTCACAGGAAACACTTTACTGGTATCGCACCCCGTCCTCTCAGCAGTACGTACGATTTTGCCTTCAAACTTTATCATAGAGTAGCAATTTACACACTATAACGGTAAGTGGCTTTCCATCTGATTGAACTGTACAGTTGACGCTGACTCAGTAAGGCAAATTTACAACATGGTGTTTAATGTAGGGGAGCCAATCAGTGAGAAGCCCTGAGCCTAGGTTTTCGGCTTGTTTACAACCATAGGGTTGGAAACTGATGTCCTCCTTATTGACTTGGACCCACGTCGCACCTTGCTGAAGTCAAAAGCTTCACTTAACTGTTCAGTCTATCACTAACTTTGTGTAAGTTTGGTTTATATACATGAACTGGTCATCAGTGAGTAATTGATGTATCCACTAACGCCTTAGTTCTCGGTACTCCTCGACGTCTATCTGTCAAGGTTGCAATTCGTTCACTAAGACAAGTGACATGACAGTGCAGCGCACTGTATTTTGGTTCAAGATATGGTATCGATGGTTGTGGTCTAAGTAGCTCAGTAGTTAAAGTCTCTGACTTCAGCAGTGGGTGACCCAAGTTCAAATCACGAGAGAGAAACATCATTTTCTCTATGATAGCATTACTGATGAGTACAAACAATTAAGAAACCTAGATCGAATAGGGCTTCATACCAATTGATTCCTGATGGTAAGCAGCCTAATTGGAAATCAACATTTTAAGTCATTAGCCACTAAGTTAAAAAATTTTATTACTTCAGTTTTTATTTCGTTTTGCTGTGTGGTCAGGAAAAAAATTATTTGATAATTTATTCTACAGTTGGCCAATCAGAATGAATTATCTAACTTTTGGCCTAGAGGTTTTATATGTTCATGAAAACTGCATACATATGGGATGTATTTATGTGGAACAAAATGTCTTCCTTGCAGTTACAAGCCAGTCTTAGTCTTCTGGTGTACGCGCCTCAGCTATTCGCGTCCAGTCCAAGTGTCTCACTGCGATAGTATCGTTCCATACAAATACATCATTTATGTATACAGTTTTCATGAACATATAAAACCTCTAGGTCGAATGTTAAATAACTCATTCTGATTGGTCACCTATAGAATAAATTACCCAATAAGGTTTTTCCCGACCATACAGAGAAATAAAACAAATATTGGAGGAAAAGAAACTCCTACGTTAGTTGCTAGTGAATTAAAACTTTTATTTCCAGTAAGGTCACTTCCTATCAGCTTTTTGCTTGTAGTTTGTAATGTTTTTCTTTGCCTATTAACAGGTACGTAACAGTGAAACTCTGCCAACTATAGCCTCATTATTTGTGAAGTATCAATTTGTATCTGCCTTACCTTTACTGAAATCAGTTGTTGGTCTTGTTCGAAATTTATCCACTGAAGAGGTGACACGTCATGAATTGAAGTGAGTCAACGTCTACTGACATACATTTATCGTCAATTATTACTGTTATTGGCTATTAAAACTATCCTAGATAGTGAATAATAATGGTATATATATGTATTGTGATGGAAGTAGCTTTGATCGGGAATGACGATTAAAGTTGAAGTGAGAATTCGGACCACAACAGTATTCGCAGCAGTGAACACCGGGTTTCCGACGTGGTGATCTACCGACTGAGCTACGAGAGTCAAATACTGACCAGGTATTGATTTTACTTCAATCACCATTGGTTTTGCCCGATACCTGTTCATCATAGTCACATTGGTCACCTTTAATAACTTGAAGTTGATAACTGTGAATTCAGCACTCAACGCTATGAGTTTTCACACAGAAGTTGTATGCAGAGATCCATCGCTCAGTGCTATCAGGTCATTTCTGCCGACTCTGTCGAGGAGTTGCTAATCAAAGCGCTGTTTTCGACACACTAGGTCATCAATTCCAATCATGCTCAGCTACGATGTGTTCATAAAACTTTACTCTAAATTATACATCAGTGGTACAAAATTGTAATTGTACGGCTAACTTGTAGTTTCGGCTATTGCTTACAGATGAATAATTATTCATATGAAATAAAAGGATTCGAACAATCAACCTGCCATTTCTGAGTGTTTTAGTCAGTAGAACCGATGCCGGAAAATTGGAAAGTCAAGTGCAAAGGAAGTGAACACACAAAACTAGTTGCGTGAAGACCATTCGAAAGGGCGAGAATACAACTTCGTGGAAAAACGAAAAAAATTACTTGATATCTGTCCTAAAAGAAAACGGCTACCCACGAAACTTTATCACAAGATGCCTATCTCGTACATCATCAATTACAAAGTCATCGACAGAAATCAATAAATGCATCATCCTACCATACATACAGAAGATGTATCAGGAATCACGACAAGATTACTGAGACCACTTGGAATTGGTGTGGCCATTCATAAACCAACAAATTCCGTTCAACCACTATTATGCAGATCAAAGGATGCAACAACCAATGACCAAAGACAAACGGAATATCATTTACAAAATCAACTGGAATAACTAGTCAGTACTACATTGGACAAAGTGGTCGCCCACCTTCACCTTTGTCTACATGAACATCAATTGGCTATTAAACGTCACACACAACATTTCATCACTCGTCCCTCAATCCACACGGATAACAACTATGGACATGAATTCAATTTCGACAATGTAGAAATCGTGGACGGAGAGAGGAAGCACAAAGAATATCAGAGAATTCATAGAAGCTTGACATTCAGGTTAGTGTGCAATCAACATATGATGTATGGACATAGACCCAATCTATCAACCAATAAGAAAAACGATAAACAACTTCAAGGTCAAACGTCAGGCACTGAAACAGCCAATAGGAAAATCTATCCAGCCAATGACAGAACAACCAATCACAAATCAGTTTATGATAGTTTTGTCTATAAAAGCAATGAAAGCATCCCGATTAAACACTACAACACAGAGGACACAATACAACCGAGATCATCCCTCCCCATCATTTCAAAACAAAAGACGTTTAGCGAAGAGTTACTGTTTTCAGCGAAATCATTGTTAACTTGTACAATCGCATCTAAATGTGACAGAAAAAAGAATATTTCATCATACACTATTCAACGGAATTCAGTTTTGATTATAAATCAGGAGATTGGAAAATGATTTAAGCAATTTTTGAAACAGTAATGAGAAAAAGACTTATCAAGACCGAAACAATATTTGTTTACAAAGTTTAAATGTTGTAATATGGTAAAAAGAACTAGTGAATGTAATACGAAACCAGGAACTAATCTGGCTGTTCGGAAATACGTTCAAAAAGTGAACTTTGAGTACAGCTAATATTACCTTACTCCACAGGAACAGGTGTTTTGATAAATACACATCAAGGTGACCAAGACGGGCTAGCTTATGCTTCTTTACGCGTTATCGAAACATCCAGTTATTAGAGGAAGTTATTCTAAGATTGGCAGCGTAGAAAGTCTTTCTATATGAGCAGGTCAAATGATACCTCAATATATCTGCTGATGTGTCTCCATTGAAATGTATCATTATTTTTTTCCGCTTGGGTTCCTAATAGAACATAGGGCTTCAGTAGGACGCCTCCACTGCACTCTCTTCTCTGAACTTGACTCCACGACTGCCCAGAAGCTTTCATTTCTTCTTCACATCATCTCCTCCATATCACCCTCGCCTCTGACGCCCATCTCATCGTTTCCCATTTGGCTTCCACTAGAGGGCATAGGCTGGCGCTTGATGTCTGCGAATGGTTTTCTCAGTTTATGCCCAATCCATCTCCACTTTCTTCCGGTGCATATTTGTTGGGCGATAGCTTCTTGCTTTGTTGGTTCGTTCCCAGAGTTGCTTACTCTTTCTCACTTTTTCATCTGATCTTCAGTATCAAGTGACCATAGGCAGCTGTTGATGAATGTCTGTAGTTTGTTGGAAGTGGTTTTTATGACGCGCCAAGTTTCTGAACCATCACATGGAAGCACTGATTTGACTGACGTTGGTGTTGACAATCCGGATCTTGTTCACGCTTTATGTTGAGTACAGTAGATCCCCACACTGATTTCAGATTAATGAAGTAAGGCCTATCTTGCTGTTTTTCCGATCCTGACTGGCTTTGACGTCCTCATCTGTGCCCGTACCACCTGTAGTTGAAACGATGTTGCCTCCTGTGTAGGTAGGTGAAAGAGACACCTTCCTTTAGGTTTCTCCCGTTAATGGTGATTAGTGCTTGTTGTTGGTTGGGTATCTTCTCTACATTCACTTAAAGTCCTATTTTCGCTGCCTTTTCTGTTAACTTGTTAATTTTCGCCTGTAGATCTTCGAGTTTGTGCAACATAAGACATTAGACATAAATCATCAATGGTGAAATTCAAATCTTCTAGGATATTTTCATCGGTCCATAATTTTAGTCATGAAATACTCAGGATACTGAAAATGACCTTAATATGTCAGTGGTAATTAGGTATACATACCCATTTATACGTTTAAGGTCAGAATGATCAAGTGCCACTGTACTCTTTAGTACTATATCCAGTACATGTATTGAACAGTGATTTGTTTGCGATGACCTACTTTAAATTCAACTTAAACAGCGTACAGTTTGTTTTTTTAGATATATTTAACAAGGTATTGAGTATTGAATAATGTGAGGTAGAGGATGATTGCAACCTGGAAAATAACATGAATTCCACTGTTAGCCAACGGGTAAACTTAAACTTATTTAAGCTGCATTATTTAAGTTTCATTTAGTTGGTAAATTTATCCATTGAACATTTTTCATCAGATTCTTTCCTTTCAATTTGTTTTAATCATTTAAATATGTCCATTTGAGGGTATCATGTACTCTGGCACATTTTTAAACTACTTCATACTCTCCGTTTTTCGAGTGAATAACAAAGCAGAGAAAAACACAGACACATAAGAAGCAAAATAATAACACTAATACAAATACAAATAATAGTGACAATATAAGTAGAAAGGAAATCAACACCTCTATTGTGATACCATACAAGGAAGGAACATCAGAAACCATACGTAGGATTCTCAACAAGGTTGGAATTAGGGTGGCATTTAAACCAACAAACTCACTTAGAGGTAAGCTTTGTCGGCTAAAAGATCTGATAGAACCAATTAGGCAAAATAATATAATCTACCGAATTCCATGTAATGACTGTGAAGTCAAATACATAGGTCAAACTAGCCGGTCGGGGTCAGTTAGATTAACAGAACATAGGAATTTAGCTAAACATAGAACGGCAGACCCCAATAAGATCAATAACCTAGAAAAACACTCAGCCATTGCATTACATTCATTAACACACAACCACACAATAGGGTGGGTGGGACAAAACCACTGTACTTAAGTCTAATATAGCTAGGTGGAGAGAGAGATTGATTACTGAATCTTTGTTCATCGAATCCACACCCAACACATGTGGAATAGGAATGACGCAACACCTATGCCAGAGATATGGAAAACTTTACTACCAATCAGAAAACAAAGAGAGATCAGGTGACAGGACTATAAAATGAGATATCGAAATTGGAGTGTGATTACATTGAGATATGATTATGAGCAATGATAATTTATGTTGGAAACGTAATCAAGTAAATAATACTGTATCACTGTGCGCTATATATATATCAAATAAACAAATCTAATATGAAAGCAGAGAAAAACTGTTATATTATATGGAAGTTATTATATATTCTGAATGGATATAATACTCAACCTTAACTGATAGCTAACTCAGTGTATTGTCGAATCCATGTCTACTTTCTTCTGCATATTTGTTAGGCGATAGGTTCTTGGTTGGTTGTTTCGTTGCCAGATCAGTATTCCACCTTGATTATTCTTTCTGGCGTTCTCATATGATCTCCAGTACTGAGTGAGCGTAGGCTGTAGCTGTTGATGTCAGTAGTTTGTTGGAAATGCTTTTTATGACGCGCCAAGTCTGTGAACCATCACTAGGAAGCACTGACTTGATTGACGTTGGTGTTGAAAATCTGGATCCTATTGTTTATGCTAAGTATCATCTGGGTGACCGAAGTAGATTATTGACTCTCCAGTAACTAGTTTGGAGAGTCCACTTCCATTCCATCTGCTCTCACAGATTCCTAGTACTTCTATGCCATACCTCCTCATCTATTTTACAATCTGAGCAGACTTGGCAGGCAGCTTCAAACACATGGTGCAAGCATTCCACATCCCCATTCTTACTTTTGTTTTCATCGAGAGAGAGGACAGATCGGCTAATTAGTTTCCCGAAGGCTTTCACCAACTGGCGTTATTTCGTCTCACCGATTCCAGGAGGAAATAATTTTATTTTTATTTTTTATATTTCGTCTGTGATTTGAGGTTTCTTTGGCGATTCGATTGGTTTTAGGGATTAGGGTTGCTAGGCCCAGCTTTCTTTGTTTATCTGAGCTTAGGACCGATTGGTAAACTAGGCGAGGATCATTTATGTATTCATCACATCTAACACGTTTCCCAATTATCTTTAAACCTCAGGATCATCCATCCAGAAGAACTAAAACCGAGTTATCAAATATCAACTTGTACACTACAATATTCTGGGTTACTATAGCTTTGACCAAGCTATTAGCAACGTTAAATAGTGTGACGCTAGTTAAAATAAATTTATCTTTTAGGCTTTAGGATCAAAATTTCACCTGATAGTAGAGTTGAACAACTTGATCATTGAGTGAATAGTTTATGAAGGAGATAATATTTTTAAAAATCCCAACGTGGTAGAAAAGTGTATATGTGACGTTTCGTAACTTCATGAAAATTGATTCTTTACAGAATACTACCTGTACAAGTTATTGTTATATTTCTCGAATGGATATAATACGCACACGTAACGCACAGATAAATCAACTCTAACGTAAATCATAACGTCAACTAACCACCATAACAACAATACCACTGATGCACAAAGACAAAAAGAGAAGATAGATCGTTGATAAAGAGCATTTTACTGTCTCAGCAACAGTCAATTTGGTTGATAGCGTTGCTGAATATATACATTTCTAAATGACCTTGACAACACTAAATTCACGCATAGTTAACAACCAATGAGAGTTCGGCTTTGAGAGGAGAGGAAAGAAAAACTGGTGCTCATTAGTGACTAGCTTTGAGAGGTATTCCTGAAGTTCCAATGGATTCTGACCCAGTGGCTGGCTCAATGGTAACGCACTGGCCGCGGAACCTGAAGGTTGCAGGTTCGATCCCTGGTGGTACGGGGTGATGGGTGATCACTGCTGAGGAGTCCCATACTACGACGAAACAGCTGTCCAGTGCTCCCAGATTTCCTTTGTTCCTCCAACTGATGTCAGTCTACGATGAATAACAACTTGAAATATTTCCAAATCTCTACAACTCCCTCAAAAAATCCCCTACTATATCATACATATTATATGGAATAAAGCGATTATTATTATTCACATGTACACTGTTTCTGTTCAGTTGATGCTATACGACAGGCTGGAAATTCTGTATAGTATTCCAGAAATATCTGATTTCAAGCCAATCGATTTCTGTCAAATCGATACAAGTGCCCAAACGTTTATTTCTAAGGTAGTATTCATCATGGAATGACACCACTTGACGAAGCATTGAAGACCTGGGAGTACTGAACAAATGTTTCCCTTTGGTACAAGACTCCTCAGTAATATGCATACACGACTCCTTTAGGCGTAGGACTCAGGACCTTGAAATTTAATGGTGAACACGTTAGTTATTCAACCACTTGGTCGAATTTCTGTATCAGTCCTCCTAGGTATTCAATACTTCTCTAAGTGATGTCACTCTGTGAGGAATACTATCAGTCAACTTTGTATACATTGATGTTAAAATTGTTACAGGTTGTAAAAAGTTAGCTGATGAGAAACCATAAAAAAAGATGAATCCATGCTATTCTGTTAAAACTGTAGTTTTGATTCTGTTTAAATGTGTCAAAGAAGAGAAGTGTATGAAATTAAAACATTCTGTTACTACTTGATATGTAGGAGTAAAATGTGGTCACTGTTCTGTGGTACATTGTAATTCCACTTTGGTCTGTTTATTAGAAATGTCACGGCACAATGAAGGAACAGTATCATATACTAGATAACGTACTAACTCCACAACTTTGAAAAAGAGTTTATATACTCAACAAACTCCAGTCACCATCAATGGGAGAAACTTAAAAGAAGTAACCTCCTTCACCTATCTAGGCAGCACTGTTTCAACTACAGGCGGGACAGACGAAGATGTCAAAGTCAGAATCGGAAAAGCAAGACAGGCGTTCATCAGCCTGAAACCAGTGTAGAGATCTTCTGCACTCAGCATGTGGAACAAAATCCGGATTTTCAACACCAACGTCAAGTCAGTGCTCAGAGACTTGGCATGTCACGAAAGGGATTTCCAATAAACTACAGATATTCATCAACAACTGCCTACACTGGTTCGTTACTGAAGATCAGATGGCCAGAAATAATAAGCAACAAGGAACTCTGGGAACGAACCAACGAAGCAAGAAGCTATCGCTCAACAAATATGCAGGAGGAAGTGGAGATGGATTGAGCATGCACTGAGAAGGCCGACCGGGGACATCACGAGTCAGGCCAGTTGCTCGAGTGGGACCCAGATGGGAAACGACGAGTTGGGCGCTGGAGATGAGGGTGACATGGAGGAGATTGTGCGAGGAGGAAATGAGAGGTTGTGGGCTGTCGTGGAGCCAGGTTGAAAAGATCTCAGAGAACAGAGGTCACTGGAGACGTGCTACTGAAGCCTTATGTTCCATTAGGAACCCAAGGGACTAATAATAATAATAATTCCTTCGCCTTCTTTATTATGACGAGAGTGGTAGAATTTTCCATATATGTAGGACAGGTGCAGAATGATTTCTTATACTCCATGTATTCGGTGTTGATTCGATAAACAAAGATTCAGTTGGTTATCAGTAAAATCTCTCCCTCCCTCCACCTAACTGAGTTGTTAGTTTTTAATGCTGTCGCCCTATCTCACCCTACTGTGTGATTGTGTGTAATGGTGTGCAGAGCTATAGCCGATTGTTATTACTATTATTATTATTATATGTGTATTGTTTCTGTCCAGTTGATGCTATATGACAGGCTGGAAATTCTGTACAATATTCCAGAAATATCTTTCGGAATGAAGCCATTATTATTATTATTATTATTACTGTACTTGAAATGTGTCGCTTCATCTTTTTAAATCATGATGCGTTGTGGGCAGGAAATTCAGTTATGTAGATACAGATAGATCACACCGTCTGAGATATATACAGATAAAAACCTGTAGACTTTGTGTTCTGTTAACTACAGTTGAGAGGTCCAAATCCTCGGACATGTTGTATCGTGAAATGAGGATCGATTATAAGGATCATCCTAGAAATTATTGATATAATCAATCAGGTTTGTTAATTTTCCCGTTGAAAGTTACGTTTTTTTATTAAAAGTGAATGACCTAATTGGTTAATTAAGTAGTTGGTAGCATGCTCATTAAAGTCGCTGATTACCACTAGGTAAATTTATAGCAGCGATAAAAGAGGTAGAAATTTTGCTGTTCTATATTAGTACTCCAAAAGATGTTGATCTGAAAGCTGAAAACAGTCATCATCGATATTGTGTCCTATTAGAAATTGTTCACATTACAGACTAGTAAACTCTTACAAGTTAAAACTATGACTTGATGACCTGTATATAGAAAAGGATGAAAAAATGATTAGTTTCGATGTGACAAGTCATTACACCAAAATACCAATCAGTATGTCAGTGAAGGCAGTCAGAAACAAACTAAATATTCACTCAGAACTTACTCACACAACTAAAATATCGATCGATGTACAGCTGCCCCGTGATCTCCACCATCTTCGAGTTTCAGGACAAAGTATACAGCCAATCCGAAAAGTAGGTACCAATTAGATCGCCAACATCCCCGGTACTAGCAAATATATTTATGGATAGTTGGGAAAACACGGCTGTACAAATGTTTAATCCTACACGTAAGAAATGGTGTCGATATGTGAGTGATACATTCACTGTGTTGAAAGCAGAACATATCGACAATTTTCTCGCACATATTAACTCAGTAGTCGGTGCAATCCAATTCACTCACAAGGAGATAGAAAATGAACAAGAAGAATTACCTGTGTTGCATTGCAGGATGAAACGAAGGATAGACTATGGTTTAGATACTACCGTCAACAGAAAACCCACACATTCCATCAGGTATCTAGACTTCAAGTCATCTCATCCAATGTCAGTCAGTGAAGGCAGGTTTAGTCAAATGGCTAAATGATACAGCTAGAAAACTGACTAATCAGTGCAACAACCTAAACAAGGAACTGAAGCATGTGAAAGAAGCGCTCCTAGTCAATAATTATCCTCTACAGTTCATTCAGAATTTCATACAAAACAATAAGAGTAAAACGAGTAGAAAGGAGTACACAACCTCCATTGTATTACCATATAAGTGAGACACCTCAGAAACGTTATGTAGGATTCTCGACAACGCTGGAATTAGTTAGACTGGCATTTAAAGCTACAAACTCATTCAGAGATAATCTTTGTCGAGTGGCTTGAGAATCCATTGGAACCAAGTAAGCAAAATAATGGAGTCGATCAAATCCCATGTAATGATTGCGAGGTCAGATGCATAGATGAAACTAGCCAGTCGGGATCAGTTAGAATAGTGAAACATAGGAATTTAGCTGAATATAGAATGACAGATCGCAATAAAATCAATAATTTGGAAAGTAACTGGTCTGTTGCAATGGATGCATTAGTAACACACGATCACACATTAAAACAGGGGACAAAATCGAATATAATTAAGTGGACAGAGAGAAGGAGATTAACTACTGTACCTCCGTTCATCGAACCAACCAACACACAACACATGTAACAGAAATGATGCAACACTTACGCCAGAGACATGAGAAAAGGTTTACTCACAATAGAAATAAAGAATATGAGGTGGGTGACAAGACTATAGGTAGGTATCTAGACTTCAAGTCATCTCATGTATACTGTCATATATATTGCCTGGAATAAAGCGATTATTATTATTATTATTATTACTATTATATTTAAAGTTACTTCATATCGTCATATTCATCTTTGTAGAGATCTAAATGTACCAGGAATGGTTGCAAATATCTTTTCACAAACTTATACCTCATTGAATGAAATAGGCAAACAAAAGAATTTTATTTCACATGGATATATGGAAGGTGTAAATCTTGAAGACATGCTTGAATTAACTCTTGCTGCATTACATATTATGGCTAAAGATCAATCTGTTCAAGAAGAGTTAATTCATACAGCTGGTCTAGTTTCATCTGTTGTACGAGTAAGTTAATTATAATGTGTATAATAACTCCTTTTTTTTCTGTTCACTTTTTTATAAGGTGTGTGTATAGTCAGCTGATATAGTTACAACTGTATTATTCTTCCTATACAAAGTGATATCAGTTAACGAATGATTGAAAACCTGAGATCTCTGGATAACTACTTCGTTCTAGTATACACAACTTCTTGGTAAGAGTCGAACTCAGGGAGCACAATTTCATCATTTGACCACTGACTTTCAATTATATCCTCCTATTGATATCAACTCATAATGGGATGATATGAACAGTTTCAAAGGTTCTATCTATCTAAGTATGTTTGTATTATACTAGATGAAGAATAGGCCTATTCATTTACTCGTCTAATATACATCCAGTTATGAGTATAATCTCATATGATTCAATTACTTTTAACAGTAGTATTCATCATGGACTGACGTCAGTTGAGGAACCATTGGAAATCTGGGAGCACTAGACAGTTGTTTCGTCCAAGTAGTATGGGACTGCTCAGCAGTACGCATCCATGACCCGGCTATCACCCAAGGTTTTCAGTTAGCCATCCACTTCACTTCCGATTGGTTGACCCAACAGGTCATGGCTTGTCATTAGAGCTTCGTGATATCCATCTGTTCGCTCTATGTCATGAATTGATAGAAGTTGGAAATTGTGAACCACTGGAAACCGACCCAGTGTCTAAATAGTTAACGCGTTCGCCGTGAAACCTGAAGGTCCTCAGTTTGATCCCTAGCCAGGTCGTTGGTGCGTACTACTGAGGAGTCCCATAATAGCTGGACGAAACAGCTATCCAGTGCTCTCAGATTTCCAAGGGTTCCCCAACTGATGTCCGTCCATGATGAATGCTACTTCCAAACTTTAAAAAAAGTCCCCATTCATCTCAAAAATCAATTACTTTTCTTTTTTTCAGTTAGTTCATTCTCCATCTGTATGTTTACAACGTGCTTCAACTGCATTTTTAAGCCAGTTGTCAACTTCGCGTTCTGGTTGTCAAGCCATTGAAAATCAAGGTGCTTGTCCAAGACTCACTGAACTAATTCAATCCAACAATGAATATATTGGTAAGTGTGTATGTGTGTTGGTGAGACTGCATGTTATGAAACCCTCGTGGGTTAGTTGCCGATGAAATCTCTGCACGAATACAAAAGGCTCGACTGGCTTTTGCCAATATACCTCACCTATGGCGCCGCTGTGATATCCGTTTGTCTATTAAGGGTCACCCGTACTGCACAGTGGTCCGCTCTGTTCTACTCTATGGCTGTGAAACATGCCCATTGAAGGTGGAAGATACGCGAAGGCTTCAGGTGTTTAACCACCGTGGCATTCGTAGTATAGGCAATGGTGTGTCGTGGTGTCACCACGTGAGTACTGCAGAAGTCAGATATAGAGTTTTAGGGAGTAGAGGTAAATCAGTTGACGAGCTTATGAACCTTAATCGATTGAGATGGTTGGGACACGTTCTACGTATGCCCAGTCACCGATTGCCTCGTCACACAATGTTGGCCGAAGTAGGTCCAGGCTGGAAAAAGGCACGAGGTGGCCAGACTGAAATATGGCACCAATGTATGAAGTCTCTGACTGTTGGTTCAAGCCATGTGGGACGATCCGGACTAGGTGGTTGGGGTCCGCGGGACAAGAGGATTCAGTGGTTGGAGACTGACTCTAGGTGATCACATAGCTGAGAACTGATGTCAGTGGCGCAGATGTATCCCCACAAACATTATCCTCATCTTAACGACACTATACCGATTCTCACCACTTTCTCATTCTTAGTTTCTCTCTTTTTGTACTTCATATTTTTTTTGACTGCATTCACTTATCTTCATCTTCCACTTCTCTGCCTTTCTACTTAGTGTACTGATATGAGGTGTGGTGGCAACTCGGACCGTTTCGCAGTAATGCCCGATCCTCTGTTGATGATGATGACCTAACAATGCCTGAGTCAAATCTTCGGATATAGACTTTGATTATATCGCAAATTTGTCTATAGGATAAACACCACAATCTACTAGTTTTCATATAAGTAATCAATGTTAACACATGAGATGTTCGTGTGAACGATTACAGATAACACGTATATAGCCCAGGTATTAATGTATACTAATGGGAGCATGTATGTGGGCGGATGAAACTCTTCATGTTATCTACACTGTAGGAGGCTAGTTCTCCTTGATATGACTGAAGAAGAAGGATTAGTGTGAGCATGAGTGCATAGCCCAGTGAACATTTATGCATTGAGGCTAGTCACACACTGGCATACTATAGTTTGTATTGTGAGAATCCAGCTAGGAATCCGTATCGATGGTATCGATATATCAGGGAGTAGGGGGGAGTGTGTTGTTTTTAGGATCGACCTTTTCTAACCCTCAAAGTAGCATCAATGTGTCGGTCATCATCAACTACGTTTTGTATGTAGTGTTGAACTGTTTCAAATGATGTTGTAGAGGTACAGGAATGCGGTAGGGTGAGGGGATAAACAAATTTCAGTAGTTCCTTTGTCTGGTTGTCATTTTATACAATATTAGAAGATATAAAGATAACCAATCAGTGCTGAACACTTAAGGTATTGATTACCATTTAATAACGGATTCATGGTGGGGGGGGGGGTGGGGGGTGTGAGAATAAAAGGTGTTCTGAGTGATTCTAAAGTGTCTAACTTATCAACACTGAGTTGTGCAGCCTCCAATCTTCATGTCAATACAGTTTACGCATAAGTTTAAATACACTATGATGATCAGTATGCACAAAAAAGCAAACATGCAACTGAAATCCTGAATTTCCTGCTGATTACCTGACTCTTTGTGTGGTGAGGTGTTGTGTCAGTGTCTGACTGTGAAAGGAGTATCGAGTAAGCGTACAACGCTAATCAAAACTTTTTACGCAAACTCATGTAGCTGTTGAGAGATGTTATGTCAATTGACGACAATTAGTGGTATTCACCAGGGATGTCCACTATCACCGTTCTTATTTAACTTTGTTATAGACGTACTAATTTTGCTGATAACTTACGTCTAATGTCACACAAACTTGATGATCTACACGGGGAAACTAACAAGTTGACAAAAGAGGTAGGACAGCGAAGACAGACTCCCTTCAACTGAACGTAGAGAAGACAGAGGTGATGAAGATACCCAACCAACACCACCACCACCAACAACAACAAACTCCAACCACCATCAACGGGAAAAACTTAAAGGAAGTAACCTCTTTCACCTATCTAGGCAGCACTGTCTCAACTACAGGTGGCACAGGTACAGGCGAGGAAAAAGACGTCAAAGCCAGCCAGGATGGGAAAGACAGCAAGACAGGCCTTGGTGTATTTACCTGAAACCAGTGTGGAGATCTTCTGCACTCCACTCAGCATAAAGCGTGCGTGAACAAGATCCGGATTTTTAACACCAACGTCAAGTCAGTACTTTTGTATAGTTCAGAGACTTGGCGCGTTACGAAAGGGGTTTCCAACAAACTACTGATATTCATCAACAACTGCCTACACTGGTTCGTTACTGAAGCTCAGATGGCCAGAATAATAAGAATAAGTAACAAGGAACTCTGGCTGACCTGGAAGCGAACTAAGAACCTATCGCTCAACAAATATGCATTGGAAGAAAGTGGAGATGGATTGGGCATACACTGAGAAGGCCGACTGGGGACATCACGACTCAGGCCAGTTGCTGGAGTGGGACCCAGATGGGAAACGACGAGTTGGGCGCTGGAGGTGAGGGTGACATGGAGGAGGTCGTGCGAGGAGGAAATAAGAACTTATGGGCTGTCGTGGAACCAGGTTGAAAAGATTTCAGAGAAGAGAGTGTAATGGAGACGTGCTAGTGAAGCCCTATGTTCCATTAGGAACCCAAGGGACAAATAATAATAATAATAGACGTAGTAATGGACATAACCTTACGAAGATTGGATTTTGTAGGAATTGGCCTACTCCCTGGACGTCATCTGGTTGACTTGGAGTATGCAGACGATATTGTCCTACTGGGTAAAAACACTGACAAAACCCAGGATCTTCTGAATTGAACGAGTTTCATACCTGTCAAATGTAGGCTGATGCTCGAGGACAGGTCTGCAGCAACCACTCCCAGTCTGATGATAGGGAGTGGAATGTGTTGACCACTTCACTTACTTGAGGAGTTACATCAGCTCAAACGGGCAGGTCGGAAACAGAATCTGAGCTCAGATACAGAAGGCCCGTTTAACATTCGCTAACTTACAGCACCTGTGGCACCAACTGACGAGATATCCGACTATCTATCAAAAGACGAGTATACTGAAGTTCTTTCTGTTGTACGACTGTCAGACATGACCAGTGAAAGTAGTAAACATGAAGCGGTCACAGGTGTTTGGTCATAGGTGTCTTCATAACATTTTTCTTGTTTAGTGGAATCACTGTGCGAGGAGTGTTGAGGTCAGGAGAAGGGTACTAAGCAAGACAGGTCATTCGATGATGAGGTTGTGAACCTCAGACATGTTATGCATGTATTGATCCACCGACTACCTATCTGTGCTGTGCTAGGCGACGTTGCATTAGGTTGGTATATGGTTCAGTGTGACCAAACGAAGACGTGATACCAGTATATGAAGTCTCTGGCAGTTTGCTTGAGCTGTGTGAGGTGATTTGAAGTACTTGGTTGGTGTCCTCAAAACGATAGGAATCAGTGATTGAGGGCTCTTAGTTAACATGACTGAAAATCTATCACTGTGGCGCACACATATTCTCTCTTTGACGTCTTTTAAAGGTCGAATGTTTTTGACGATTCTACACTTTTAAATTCACTTTCCTCCTGTACACATTTGTCTACTTCAATATCAGTTATACACACTAGCAGTAGTGAAGTGATTCCTAGTTTTAACTGCTTCACTCTCTTCCATTTCGTGTTTCGAGATGTGTCCATCTAAAGCCTTTTATTGATTACTGTCTTTCTGTTCGATACCTGAGGTTTTCATCAGTCTGAATGAAGTAAAAAAATAAGTAAATTTGCTGTTTTTTACTTGGATGAAAGCGATTGACAGGAAGCACCAAGTTTTCCGCCCTTTTTATACACATTAGCAACCCGAAGGAACTGCTATTGCTCTCGGAGGTCGAACCCGCATTAGAATAAGAGACGTTACCAGTGAATTATTCAGTCTGCAATAAACCTCCTATAGAACTGAATTGTGTACATTGGTCGGTCGCTGAAGGGTTACTGACAACTCCGAAGACGCCCGAAACCTAAGTTAGGCCAGAATCTCTGCCATCGGCCTTCAACCATTTAACATTGTTAAATTGATTCCGTAGAGAGTAATCAATCACTCAGAGAATATATCTTGTTTCTCTTCTCTCATAGCTGCATACACCGCTGCTATCTTACATCGTATTGCTCAAGATAAACCAGAAGCATATAGACGACGATTATCATTGGAATTACGTCAGTCACTTTTTGATGGTGGTCTTCTCAACGATCCACTTGATAACGATCCATATTTAACAAGTTCTTCAAGAATTACTGAAAGTATACCAAACTTTACTTCACATATAACTGATCAAAGATCAAGAAATCTATCTGATTCGAATCTGAGACAACGTTTAAAGTAGAACTTGAAACTACTATGGGAGATTTCATGGAGGAATATATTGACATTGTAAGTGAAAATCTATTTGTTACTTTTTATCCACTTCTTCATAATCTCCAATTAATTTATATTGTAATATGAATATAAAAAGCCTTCATAAACTCTTACTTAGTATTCCTTGAACATATTATTATTTGTCCCTTGGGTTCCTAATGGAACATAGGGCTTCACTAGCACGTCTCCATTACACTCTCTTCTCTGAAATCTTTTCAACCTGGTTCCACGACAGCCCATAAGTTCTTATTTCCTCCTCGCACGACCTCCTCCATGTCACCCTCACCTCCAGCGCCCAACTCGTCGTTTCCCATCTGGGTCCCACTCCAGCAACTGGCCTGAGTCGTGATGTCCCCAGTCGGCCTTCTCAGTGTATGCCCAATCCATCTCCACTTTCTTCCAATGCATATTTGTTGAGCGATAGGTTCTTAGTTCGCTTCCAGGCCAGCCAGAGTTCCTTGTTACTTATTCTTATTATTCTGGCCATCTGAGCTTCAGTAACGAACCAGTGTAGGCAGTTGTTGATGAATATCAGTAGTTTGTTGGAAACCCCTTTCGTAACGCGCCAAGTCTCTGAACTATACAAAAGTACTGACTTGACGTTGGTGTTAAAAATCCGGATCTTGTTCACGCACGCTTTATGCTGAGTGGAGTGCAGAAGATCTCCACACTGGTTTCAGGTAAATACACCAAGGCCTGTCTTGCTGTCTTTCCCATCCTGGCTGGCTTTGACGTCTTTTTCCTCGCCTGTACCTGTGCCACCTGTAGTTGAGACAGTGCTGCCTAGATAGGTGAAAGAGGTTACTTCCTTTAAGTTTTTCCCGTTGATGGTGGTTGGAGTTTGTTGTTGTTGGTGGTGGTGGTGTTGGTTGGGTATCTTCATCACCTCTGTCTTCTCTACGTTCAGTTGAAGGGAGTCTGTCTTCGCTGTCCTACCTCTTTTGTCAACTTGTTAGTTTCCCCGTGTAGATCATCAAGTTTGTGTAACATTGGACACAAGTCATCGGCGAAATCCAAGTCTTCTAGGTTCTTTTCCGAGGTCCAGCGTATCCCCGTGTTCTCGCTCCTCACTGTTTGTTGCATGATCCAGTCGACCACAGTCAGGAATATCATGGGTGATAGTAGGCAGCCTTGTTTCACTCTTGTCTTCACTTCAAAAGCATCACTGAGATTTTTCGAATACTTATAGCCAATTTCATTTCAATATGTGGAGCGTGTGGAGGGTTTCGATGCGGGAAACACTAAATGTGTGTTACTACACCTAGTTTTCATCACGATGTGACGTTTGCTATGGAGGCATCGGAAATCAGAGCTCTGGGTGCCTGTTTGATTCCTTTTTGGGGTTCCTCAGCACCAACGATGTGTAAGTGAACGAACGAGACTAGAACTATAAATTCGCGTGGCGAGCACTGTACCGCTCAGGTTGCTAGGAGACTTGGAAATGTCATCCTGAAGTGGTGGTTAGGGATCGCATATTATGCCAGCTAGGTTGGTGCAACACTTGTTGCCTGAAAAATCCAGAATACTAGAAAAGTCAGTTGGGTAATGCTGATAGAAAAAGCACCCAATCAATCCATCAATATGAACATAGGACCAGGCATTACTACGTAACGGTCCGAGTTGCCACCACACCTCATATCAGTACACCAAGTAGAAAGGCAGAGAAGTGGAAGATGAAGATAAGTGAATGCAGTCAAAAAAAATATGAAGTACAAAAGAGAGAAACTAAGAATGAGAAAGTGGTGAGAATCGGTATAGTGTCGTTAAGATGAGGATAATGTTTGTGGGGATACATCTGCGCCACTGACATCAGTTCTCAGCTATGTGATCACCTAGAGTCAGTCTCCAACCACTGAATCCTCTTGTCCCGCGGACCCCAACCACCTAGTCCGGATCGTCCCACATGGCTTGAACCAACAGTCAGAGACTTCATACATTGGTGCCATATTTCAGTCTGGCCACCTCGTGCCTTTTTCCAGCCTGGACCTACTTCGGCCAACATTGTGTGACGAGGCAATCGGTGACTGGGCATACGTAGAACGTGTCCCAACCATCTCAATCGATTAAGGTTCATAAGCTCGTCAACTGATTTACCTCTACTCCCTAAAACTCTATATCTGACTTCTGCAGTACTCACGTGGTGACACCACGACACACCATTGCCTATACTACGAATGCCACGGTGGTTAAACACCTGAAGCCTTCGCGTATCTTCCACCTTCAATGGGCATGTTTCACAGCCATAGAGTAGAACAGAGCGGACCACTGTGCAGTACGGGTGACCCTTAATAGACAAACGGATATCACAGCGGCGCCATAGGTGAGGTATATTGGCAAAAGCCAGTCGAGCCTTTTGTATTCGTGCAGAGATTTCATCGACAACTAACCCACCAGGGTTGATCCTACTTAGTCGCCACATTCGACCGCTTCACTCTCTGTTGTTATTCGAGGCAGCACTGAAGACCAGTCCTGGAACGAAAATTTGCATTTGGTTGGTGAAAACCGCATGCCAAACATTCTCAAATTCCCACTCAAAGTGTTCAGAAGACTCTGCATCTTGTCAGCGTCGTCACCTAACTGGACTATGTCATTTGTATATTCTAGATCTAAAGAAAATTCAGCTGTGATTGGGTGAACATCTGTGTATTTCGATGACGAGAGGGGAACCTCCATATGTATATCTATGATAAAATTGAATAAGAATGGAGATAGTGGACACTAACTATCTTAGTGTAAAATGCTACTTTATAAAGTGGCTGTGAGGCAGAAGCAGTACTGCTGACTGTGCAGGAGGGATGATAGAAGTAAAACATTCGTCACGAATGAACAACAATGCCGCACTGATGCTGCATTCCGTATAAAAAAAGAATGAAGGTTAGAAAAGGTTAATTCTAAAGAGAGCTCATTCCGCTGTGGCATATCGATCTCGGCGATATAAATTCATAGTCAGATTTAAAAATATCCGATGTCTACGAACCGACGACAGTGTTCATCTGTTGCAGTTTTGTTCCTACAATCCCTACTTTCTGGCCAACACTGACTTCAAGCATAAGAAGTGATACTATCTCACATTGCATCTCCCGACATCAAACCAACGTTGGACACAGATCATATTACTATAAACCATCGTTAAAGAATTGCTATTCTTTCTAGAGAAAAGGTTTGGACTCCGATCACGCATTGGTATGAGCACGTGTAAATCTATGCATTACTGGTCGCAGGGAATATGCTTGATTATAAAACAAGGACTCCAGGTGTGTATTTAGGAGGCTGTTAGCTAAACCTTTTATCTGAGCAATGCTCATTCTAAGGAAACTTGGCGTGATAATCAATCTACTGTAGACATAGAGATAAAGGCAATCGATAAACTAAAATCGAAGGTTAGCAAACGTCATTGAATTTTCCTGACGTCATCCGAACTGATTGATGCGAGAAGAGTGATTCCAACCAACTCTGACTACGATGAAGCGTGAAAGTATGTAGGACGTAAATTGACCTAGAGTCTTTCCATTGATCGTAAGAAGTGGTGAGTGATGAAAGCAAGAGAGATGGAGTAGGCATGAGCGTTGGGTAACACTCGCCAACTATGTAGGATCATTAAGGATACAGTAAAGAAGATGGTGAGTGAAGCTATCACCGAAACGGATTGAACGTGACTAGAACATTAAGCTCAGTTCACAACTAACCCATAGGAACAATTCACTTGCTGAGAATCCATCAACTACTGTTATATCAGTATGAAGAAGTAAACAACCATAGTGACTTGTTGTCTCGGATGTAGAACACGTTGGAGAAATGTATGCAGCAGTAATCAGTGTATAATCAATAAAGATATTTATTATTTGATTTCCAAACTACTGAATTCTTGTTTTAAGTAGTGAGTAACGATTACAGATTATTTAACCGAGGTACCATATAATCGTATTGTTAACACTATGCTTTTATCTTTACAGAATGCACAATCTTTTTTATTTCTATATCCAAGGAGCCGAATCGTACATATCATTTGTTTTTAACTGCTGCATTCAAACTCGATTGTAACTGTGAAGGGGCGGATGACTGACACTTGATTAAGATCTCTTGAACCCACTATAAATCGTTCAAATTTTATGCCGTATGATTTCATAAACTTTATTTTTGCATAATATTCTTACAATTTAATTTGAAAGTATAAATTATGAATGGAACAGAAATTATTGTTTTGCTTTTTTTCTTGGTGAGATTTGATCCGACGCCTACATAATAAGTCGGCTGAGAGATTATAAATAGAAATTTCATAGGAGGCATCATCAGCCGTACATTGATTGACCACTGAAGGACAACCGATTTCATCTTGTCTAGTTCTGATCAGATTCTATCGATCATTTGGCGATACGGTAAGCAAGCTAAAAGGTTCAGCATTGCAATGCACTTTGATTTATGTTAGTTGGTTAGAGGTAGGAAACCCTTGAACTAGGTTTCGCACTTGTTGGCACTCGTCAGCAAGGTGTGTATGGAATCTTGAAGGAGAGTTCTGGTGATAGCGCCGCTGACTCCAACACTGGGTGAATCTCAGAAGAGATGTAGTAGTTCATGTGCTGCAAATATCTCGTAACAAGTTCAGTTAGGTGAATCCTAGACGTAAGTAGAGCAGTAAGATTCAGACAATCCTCTCAAACATTATGGTCACATGAAACAACTAGAGAATTATGTTCCTGCTATAACCGGTAGTATGACGTAACAGTTCACGAGCGATACGTACTTAATAACCAATCACAGCCGTAATAATTCCACCGACGCGCGAAGGCAAGAAGAGACAGAGCGTTGACAAGGAGCATCCCACTATCTCATTACAGTTGACGGCGATGCTGAATATAAACATTTCCAAATGACCTTGACAACACTAAATCCATATATAGTTAACAACCAATGAGAATAGAGGGGAAGGAAAAACTAATAGTAACGATGTGAAAGCAGGTATGATATGTT